GGATTTACGTTAGGATTCATAATAGTAGCAAAATGACAGTTTATGAAGTAGCCATGAAAATAATTTTATGTTGGGGGCTATCCCAACACGAGGAACTGTATTGAAGGGTTACAGCGTTAGGAAGGCATAGAACCACTGCTCTATAGGAACTAAGCTAGAGGGCATTCACATTTGTTACAGCAGGAATCTGACTGCATCCTAGAAGTGTAACAGAGCTTGGCAGAAGAAACTAGGAGCAACAGCCAGTCTACAACATGGTTACTACTCGTGCTAAGAGTTAGTGAGAACACAAATATAGGAAAAAGGTTCCAAGTCACTGTTACAGTTGTGGACAAGGCAGACACTAGCAATGGAGCTCTAGCCACAGAGAAAGTGACGCCATTAAAGAAACAGAGTGCACTGGTTAAGGCCCCACCTATCAAAGGCTCTAATCTTCCCTATTGGAAAACTAACTGCCTGTAGTTGCTCATTGAACCAGGCTGCATTTGAAGCCAGCAGAACTTGGTGCTATTATCTCCATGGTGCTGGTTTTGTAGGTTAAGAATGAGTGACGGTCATGAAAGCTTGTGTCAAAGTCTCATAAAGGCTCCAAGGGCAGGCAGCATCATGTAGGAGGATCTGATTCTTTGCAAGGAAGCCAAGAGATCTAGGGAAGCCAGAGTCACAGATGGCATCAACAGACACCGGACAACAGCAGGGCTTGGGGTCTGACCAGCCATGTCTTGGTGTATTTCTTGCTACGTCACACTTTTCCTTTTTTGGGATGCTGTCTTAGTCTGCCCCCTCACATGCTGCATGTATGCTAACTTGGATTTTCATTTCTTGAGGACTGAGATCTAAGAGACTGCCCTGATTCTCACATGAGACTTTGAACTTTTGATCAGCATTGGAGCTGTGAAACTGTGAGGACTTACGAAGTTGGACTGAACACATATTGCATCATGAGAGGACCATAAACCTTAGCAGGCAGAAGAAGTAGGAAGTTATGGTTTGGATATAAATTGTGGGCCATAGACTCATGTTTGAACATCTGGCCCCCAGCTGTTTGTGTGGTTTGGGGAAGTGGTAGCATTTGGAAGGTGATGTCTAGCTACAGGAACAGGCTCTCGGGCTGGAGCCGGGGAAGTAGGAGAGGTAAGGAGTCTCAACACTCTCTTCACCATGAAGGTGCAGCTACTCTGCCTCCCTCTTACATCCAAAATAGTCTCTTTCCTCCCTTAAGCTGCTTTTGTCAGATATTGTCAGAGTAATGAAAAAGTAACCAATGTACCATGCTTGCAGAGTATAGGGGCCACTGCACAAAGTAGCAGCAAGCAGCTGAATGGTTAGGAACTTCTCACCTGTGGAAATAGTATGCCAGCCTACAGGACATCAAACTACCAAGTATAAACTTAAAATTAACTACCAGAAGAAATCAATAAAACTGAAGCATTTTACAGAGCTAAAAGGTCTAAGACAATGAAGGACAGATGGAGGAGAAAAAAAGGAACAAGAGAAACAAAAGTTAAGTTTACAACTAATCAAAAGGATTTCTCCTCTTTAGAGGAGCAATTAGATAGAGGACAGGTCCCTACATCAACACGAGGATGCAAACACAAGAAAGGACAGCAAACAGCAGCTACAGCAGCACTGTACGACGGTCTCAGAACCAGGTAACACACAGCTAGCCCAAGATAGCCATAGTTACAGATCCCAGTGTGAACACACAGCAGCTCCAGATTTCAGTTTCTGAATAACTCAACTATTTAAGTCTGTGTAAGCAGTTTCTTCCCCAAATCACCGTTTCCGGGGCTGTTCACAGCATCCTTCACAACTTTTCTTTTTCAATTCACTTACTCCCAAAGCAACATAAATATCACAAAGGGAGGGGACTAGTCTGTCTTAATCAAATTTCCATTTCATTCTGAATAAAAATTGAATGACTGGCATGCAATAAGGTCATAATGTTTATTGAGTAAATAAGCTACCTAGCAACTTATTTTCATTGTACTTAGTTTCAAATTTTACATTATTTTTAGTTAAGTATAATTCTTTAACTTAACGTTTTTTTTTGTTTAAGTAAATTTCTGCCAGCCAAGATTTTGCATGAAAAGTTTAAACATAAATTTTAGAAAAATGTCACCAGGAAACAAAGACTCCAAAATTAAAAATCACAAACATGACTTTCTCTGGCAAATATATATTGAGTCACATAAAAATATAATTACATGAGCTTTTATGTTTATTTAACTTCACAGGAATTCTAAAAATTGGTTGTCTAAGAACCATTCCTTTGTTATGGTAACAATACTATGTGGTAGAAAGATGCCTACGTTAAATCATTAAACTCCCAATATTCTCCCAGTAGGCAAAAGAACTCTTAGGAGTCAAACCTGCAATGTGTAGGAGATCTAGAAAGTCACTTAAGCTTTAACGTCTACACCAAGTTCTACAGCACATCCTCACATACATTGTAGGGCACTAAGGCAGCTTAGTGCTGCAGGACAGCGAGCAAAGCTCACTGTGAGTCTACAGATCCCAAAGCCTGCCTGTTGCAATGAGCTACACAGTTCCTTAATGTCACAGTACACACTCTCAAGATGAGTATGATCATTGCAGTGTGCTAACAATGTCAGCAATTAATGTTGCACATACCTAGCTTTATTTTTAAATATGTGGCTCCCCAAATATTGGTGAATGAAGTGTTAAGTTCAAACATAATAGTGAGTGAAGACTCAGGACAGAAACTTTCATCATCATTGCACCTACTTCTCTACACAAAAATTGAAAATTTTACAACATAATCCTCCCAAAAAGTGAACAGACAGGTTAAAAGTACAGACTTAGTTAGTGGCAAGGAACACAAACGAAATCACAGTGACCAAGTTTTGTCATAAATGGATGCACAGCATTAATGTGCAATGAAATTTGGTGAACGATGATCATACAAATAAAAACCCTCCATAATAATTTTTGTATGTTTTATAAAATGGTTTTAAAGATATATTTCCATAAATATTTCCAATGCAGTTCAGTTGATGACAAAAATACAAAGCTATCCTTTATTATTTATGCCATAGATTTAAAAACATGCTTTTGTACTGCTGAAATGGAAACAACATTGTTTGGAGAGCCGAGCTAATGAAACATTTAAAATCCAAAGTATCATAATCCAATGTGAGCGGCCCTGATAGACAGCAGCCTCCCGACCCATTGCTGCTGTCAGCACTGTTGGGAAGAAAAGTTCAACCCTGAAAGATTAAGACACAATTCAAACATTTTTTTAAAAATAAAGTGTTTCATAAACATGAGGAAATGTTTAAAAGAAAAATAATCACATTATTTGCAATACATACTGGAAAATAGTAAAACGTGTCATTTTCTAAAATAGTCACTTCTTTATTGCATCCCCAATCTATTATAGCCAATTTTGGAAACATACCTTAAACATAAAGGTGTACTATATGAAAATGCTCTGTATTTGATATAATAAACTTGGTAACTTAGAATTTGATTTTCTTTGTTGTTGTTAACAGTTGTGCAAAAACAACCCAGCACCCATAAATCTAAAGTTAGTTTAGGTGAGCATAAGGTGGTAACCAATACATTTCGGTTCAAAATACAGTTTATACAACTATATAAAGGACACTGCCTCAATAGTCATTTTTAGACTTTGTAGATACAATGACAACAGAACAGATCTCTAAGATAAACCCAGGCAAATGTCCATTTCTTCTGTTCTGGATGCAGTGGGACTCACTCACTGTTTATGAGAGTGTGACACCTACAGTGTCAGCCCAAACCACATATATCACTGCTACCCTCCCACCCCCCCAAAAAACAATTTTTTTTGGCTCCAAAATAAAGTACAATTATAAACTCTTGATGAAAAACTATGTTATGGGGTCATCTATCATATACTATGGCTAAGTATGAATTTACAGAAAAAGCACATCTCATGATCAGCAATTTTTTTCATGAACATGCAACTCACTATAAAATACAAAACACTTGGCTTTCAAGAACAGATTTATAAAGATACACTGCATCAATAAAATTTTTTGTTTGTGATTAACTTTACATGGTTATGGAGAATGAGAACTTTTCTAATGTGTATATATCAGATTTTATATTATAGTGTAATAATTTGCATTTTCTGAACATAATGTTCAAGAAGTAATATCTATACACAATAACATTCTAGACTATTAAAAGCCCATTCAAATTACACAATTTTATTGATACAGTAGATTAATATAAACTGAAAAAAGATGATAGAATGGTATAAAGAATTTAGTACATTATTTTATAACACACTCTTTAAAATTAAAATATTTTAAATCTCTTTCTTAAAATTTTCATTGCCACAAAAGGCCAGAAAATTCTGGGACCAATACTGAGGTGTAGCGTCAATAACTTCAGGACTATTTCACAATCTGCATGGTGTCCCCGACACAGGTGCTGCTCTGGTGTAATGGCAGGCACTCTTGCACCTCTCGGGATGAAGGGTGCCCCGGATAAACACAGGCGAGATACAGAGAGACGAAGAGACTATTTAACTCCAACAAACAGTGACATCAAGGAAATGACACCAACTGTTGAAAAACCAATGTTCACAGTAAAATTGCAGAGAATACAAATACAAACCCTGACAGACTACTGCTCGAGATCCATCCTAACAAATGCTTCTCAGATTAAGAGATCCAGTAAGCAGCTGGGCGCTGTCAGTTTAAAGCCGCAGAGAAAAGCTATACAAGCACTTTAGAAGTCAGAAATAGGGGAGGGCGTATTTACAGGGTTCTTCTTTAGTTTATGTCTACACAGCCATCACACATGACACTTTCACAAGACTTCATAGTCAATGATATCACTGTGTGAATGGCTGACGTATGTGACCACAAATCCATGGTCAAAGGTCCAACTGTCCACACTTTGGCAGTCCTGTTTTGTGCATCAAAGGCTTTGTTTAGCCTCATACTTGACAAAAAAAAAAAAAAAAAAAAAAAGTTGTTCCTCTCCCCCCCCCCCAAAAGCTTTCACAATGCAAGTTAATGGCGTGTTCATCGTCTCTCTCGTTTGGAACTTCTCCGTCGTACCTGAAGAGAAAAGTCAACAGATAACTAAGGTGAGCACAATCACATTCACGATAACAGCCACTGAGCTTAACATAATCTTTATTCTCGCACATTTCTGAATTTCTCCGTATTCTTTCCCTAAAACTGTCTCCCTCTTTCTTCCTATCTTCAGGTATTTGGGCCTCTGTGACATCTGCAGATGTACAAACCCACAAGCAATTACTCTCAGATTCATCATCTTTCTTCTTGTGGCTAAGAAACACTTGAATCTTGGACTGGCCATTTTGGGACAGAGGTTGGTTGGTGAGTGAGTTTGGCTCCCAGCACTTGCAGACATCTATACAACTTCAAGTTCAAACACACTACATTTACCAGCAATGTCTAAAGGAAGCCTAAAACTTGGGATTCAAAAATAAGATCAGGAGCCAGGCAGAGGTGGCACATGCCTTTAGTCCCAGCACTCAGGAGGCAGCTGGATCTCTTGTGAGTTCAACAGCAGTCTGGTCTACATAGCAAGTTCCAGGACAGCCAGGACTATACAGAGAAACCCTCTCTCAAAAAACCAAACCAAATAAACTAAAACCAAAACAAATCCAGCAAGGTTGGTATAAAACAGTGTAAGTAAAAGGAGCAGGGTTTTAAGTGAACCGATCTAGCATACAGTTGTTCTCCATTATGTGGATGATTCCATCTTCCTTTCAAATCCCTGTCCAAACACCTTATGAAACAAAGCAGAACAGCTCTGAGACACTTTAGTGAGACTCATATGAACCAACCCTGGGCAGACAACCTGCAGAGCCCAACTCTAGGAACTGACCGAACTCAAGTTTCCCAGATGAAGAAAACTGAGCTGCTAAAACCTTTGCATAAATGTGTCAAGAAAAACAGCTCCTATTTGTGTTAGTTTCCTTTTCTTCCAATGAGAAATATGTGGTAACTAGCACCGCCATGTTCCCTACAAGAACAAAGTCAAGAAGCAGCACCCAGTGCCAACAATACAAAGCCAGGTCACACTTCAATCCCAAAGGCCCAGGGTACTTCAAGATTTAGTTTTAGTCAGTGTGGCTTTCTTCTGGTTTCTAGCACAAAAACAAACACTTCAGGGATGCCAGCGCCACACTCCTCAGACCACTCAGAATTCAGCTGACATTACAACATCCATCATTGTCCTGTAAGTTCAAGCTCCCCTCACAGTTGTTTCTACCATAATTCAAGCTGGTAAGTAAATAACATGACAAACTAATGAACAAAAGCACAGATACCTAGAATTAGAGACAATTCACAGCAAGTGCTAATGGAGCTACTAAATAGTGGCTGGCTCTGTTTGTACATTTTGTAGCCTACAGACACTTGAGTAAGCACGTACGTTTCCTGCAGAAATGTCCTCCTCTTCTGCCCCTTCCTGTGCAGTGTCATCACTGACAGGAGAGCTGGCCTGAAGCATGTCCATTTCTTCAGTCGAATCATTTTCTTTAGTAGCTGTCTGTTTGGAGCGTCCTATACGGCTACAGCAAAACACATCAAATGAAATGAGAGTTCCAATCTTAAGTTGTGGATTAACCCACTGCAAGAAATGTCTTAAAATAGCCTGCCTATACATGCATTCTTGTCATTTTTACCCTCAATTATGCCATAAGAAATAAATTTCTATCTTGACCCATAGGCATTACTCTGAGACTCTTATAGAGATTACAGAAAGGACTTCATGACAACCTAAAGCTGATGCCTACTTCATCCTTCCTTCTCCTCACAGAACATCTGACCCACTAAGCCACTCAGAGCAGTATCCTCTGAGTAAGCTGTGCACCTTTCCTCTCACAGGAATCTGAACCCACTCACTCCTCCCCACCGATATGCTACCTCTGACTTTTCCTTTTTACCAAGTGACCTCTAAAACACAGAACAGGTGGTATCATTACACACAAACCCCTGCATGGACCTGAAGATAACTCTGTCCATTCATTCAGATGGTCCAGGCCTACCCATCTATTCCTGCCAGTTACAATCCAGTAAATCCCCGACTGTTCCAGTTTCTTGGATTTACCAATTTTTTCACACCTTCAGAAAATTCAACTATAGTATTCTTCTATCCAAATTGTCTTCTCCCTACTATCTCCTACTTCTGTTTTGCACTGCTTTGTGCCATAGTGCACCTATGGAAGTCAAAGGACACTTGAGGGAGTTCATTCTCTCCTACCATGTGAGTACTGGGGATTGAACTCAGTCAGTCAGGCTTGGCAATAAATGGATTTACCACTGAGCCATCTCATCTCATCTCTCCTAGTATTTTCAAGTAATCTATTCACTGTTACATTCCCAAAAGAAAACTTTCCCAACTCCCAAATCCCTTCACTATATTCTCTTATAATGCCCTAAATATTTTCAGGACACATACCAGAGTTATAGTTCCATATTTTTATGTGACTCCTTAGTGACTGCCTGCCCACTCTTGTTCGTTATCTGCCACTATACAGAATTACATGGGTGATATGATAATATTTTCAATTACCATTAGAACTCAAAACGCAGACAAATTATAACATGTTATTATTTCAGCTCTGAAAAAGAACTGTCTAGAAAGTGTAAAACAGAACAAAAAGGTTCCTTCTGCCCTGATTTTGGAAAAGATAAAGTTAGGTTCTGAGTGTTCATGAAGTGCAATGAAACTTGAAATCACAACCACTTGAGCCCTTAATTTTATGATGTCCAGATAGTAGGAAAAGGGTGAATTATAGGGGTGATATATTTAAAACTGTTATCAGATGACTGTTGTGAAATTCATGACAGGCTACTGACTATTCCTTAAGAAACACTGGTTTTGCTTGCTGAACCAAACACATTCAGGAAGCTGTTACAATAATGTACTTACCTTTACTTCTAAAGTATAGAAAAATAATATGGAAGAAGGCATAAAGCACTGATTGACACTCAAGAAAGTTTTTCTCTTCCTGTGTAGCACATAGGAACAGGAAAAACTCTATGATATCCAAGTATTTAGCTGAGATGAGCTGGAAACTCTTAAAAAGTCAAGCATAATATTAGTTCTTGGTAGACTAATTACCAAGATAATGTAACTATGTTTGATTTTGAAGGTACCCAGCAATGAACTCCAATTTCAGTGCCAATATTTCAATAAAATTTTAATTATGAAAAAAAAAAAAGAGTCAAGTACTAGGTACAGTTATATATTGAGCATGCTCAGGAAATGAGATGACATTTTTGGCTAGTAGGATGTGCTATCCTGGTTCTACTTTCATAAGAGAAGACAGCTCTGCCCAGTTTGAGGCTAACAGTGCTGGTGCTCATATTATGGTGATGTTTTTGGACAGATTCATTGTTCCGCCTCTCTTATGAATACACTTAAACATGCAAAGTATCCAAAAGTACACACAGATCCAAGTGCCAACTACATTAAGAGCTTAAGAGCAAACTACAGTCATATCTATGGACACAATTTAAGAAAGGCAATGCCTATGACTTTACACAAGTTCAAAGGATGAAAACCAAGGTGTAGTACCATTTCCTTTTCTCCAATGGAAACATTGATGAGGGAAATAATTAAGAAAAAAATCATAGCCTGCAGCAATGAGGGAACCTGGCTGATGTATAGTGATAACTGAAAAATATACCATAAGTCTACATAACTATTTGGCATTTATTTACAAAGATTTCTCTAGACCTGTAACTATTAACTGGGCTATTAACCCCAGTTAAAAACATCTTACCTAGTATAATGGGACAAAATATTTGGAATTTAAATACAGTAATAATTGTGCTTATAAATTTATGAAGCTTACAAAATAATTTGAAGTTGGTTTGAAGTTTAATATTATTTACAACTTACACATTTTTTTTAGGTTGTGATGGTGATGGCGTTTTTGATGGTCTTCCTCGTCCTTTCTGTGGTGTGGACTGTGTGGATTCAACTGCACTAGTTTCAGGAGACTCTGCTCTGCTTTGGGGAAGACCCAAATGTGGATAGCATCAAATTATGATTTACACTGTGGTAAGTACATTTACTGCATCGATGGTTCAGTTTAGGGTTACACATACTCACCTCTGTTGTGCTCTCTTTGATGTTCGGTGCTGTTTGCTTTTTGACTTCTGTTCTGTGATTCCAATTTGTCTTTCTTCTTCTTCATCATCATCTACTACAGGAGGTACAGGTTTTTTCTTGCTTCCTTTTTTGGATGTTTTCATTGTTGGCTCTTCCTTTGATGTCCCTCCACCAAGCGGTTTTGGCGGCCTGCCTCTTTTGCCCTTTTTGGGTGGGCTGTTCTGTTCATCCTCATTTTCAAGGAGCTCTTCTTTGTGCCTCTTTTCCTCTGGCCACTGTTGCTCATCTGACTCTGAAGCTGCACGGCCTCTTTTCCGACTCCGCTGACTGCCTTTAGGTTTCTGTTCCTGTACCAACTTAGTCAGGTCATCCATACCTAATTTCTCTTCTTGGTCTGTGACAGCTGCTTTTTTCCGACTTCTAGGCTTCTCCAACTCAGACTGGAGGGAGGAGGATCACAATTTTTAAAATTAAGTTTTGAAAAATAAAATTATTAGGGTTTAGGGTGTGTGTTGTTTAGTGGAAAGGCGCTTGCCTAGTATGTGCAAGGTCCTGGGATGAAGCTCCATCAAGGTAAGTAAACAAACTGTTAGCACTCTGAACAATGTGACAACTGCTAAAAATGTGTGATCTACTTTTGTTATAAATATGTACCTAAATACACAGCTCTAAATATAGTGCAACCACAACTATTTACTACTTTTATTTTATTTAGTTTGTAGAAATCAAGGCCTCCTCAGGTTGCCCAGGCTGACATCAAACTTTCTTCTCATGTTAAGAGTACAGAGTGGTAGCGATGACAAACATGTGCCCACTTCCCCAGGTATTTACTAGAATTTGATTTTTAAAATTCCTTGGAGTAAGAGTAGAATTTCATTTAAAACAAACAAACAAACAACAGTTTTTATTAGTTCTTAGAGAACTTGATACAATATATTTTGATCACACTCACCCCAACCCTTCCAAGATCCCTCCAACTTCTTAAAACCCCCAATTCTAATTTATGCTGCCCATATAGTCCTGGGTAAGGGGCCACCCACTGGTGTACAACTGATACATATTTATTTTTAAATTTATAATGCAGAGAATCAACAGGAGCCCTTTCAAATCAGTACTTTATTATATGTGTCTCTTAGTTAAGATGAACACCTCACATGCAGTCATTGGGTATAGAGATGACACTAAAGCATCCAATCCCACAGTTCATTCACCTAGCTCTAATTAGACCACACAATGTGTGTGATTAAAAAAAAAAAAACCATGGTATTGTATATGTTTGTGATGTCATAAAGAACTGTTTTATTTTCTTAATGGAGGTTGCAGGATACAAAGCTTTAACACATTCACTCCACACTAAAAACCCAGAAACATCTCTGAATCAGAGATATTCTTTCCAGATTTGAATAATTCAAAACAAAACAAACAAACAAAAAAAAAAAATCAAAGAAACAAAGAGCTCCAGGGTATTACATTTAAAATATTACTTTATATTTGAGAGTTTATGTATAAATGAACAAATGAGATAGAGAAAATTCTTCAGACAGCCAAGAATGAGAGTGTATATGAATTCTTATAGGCAAACCTAATTTCAAAAAAGTTTGTACAAATTTATACTCTTAAAAAATTTCAACAGAAGCTGGGTTGTGGTGGCGTATGCCTTTAGTCCCAGCACTCTCTCTGAGTTCAGCCTGGTCTACAAATTGAGTTCCAGGACAGGCTCCAAAGCCACACAGAGAAACCCTGTCTCCAAAACAAAACAAAACAAAAAAATTACCAGCACCCACATGGTAGCTCACAACCATCTGTGTCTCCAGTTCCAGAAGAATCCAATGCCCTCTTCTGGCCTTTGTGGGCACCAGGCAGACATGTGATGTAAAATACCCATACACATCAAATAAACAACAAAATCTTATTGATTAAAAAAGGGGGAAAAAATCAACAACAACTCTAACTTGGAGGAAGTGACTGAGCTGGGAAAGTGCTTGCCTAGAATGCACAAATCTGGCTTTGAGCCTCAGCATTTCATAAAACCAGGCACGGCTGTACTCAGTAGTAATTCTAGTATGCACAAGGGGAGGCATCAGAAGCTACATACTGAGTTCAAAGCCAGAATGAGTGCCGTGAAACTGTCCTAAAAATAAAAGCCCCCGGTGGTGGTGTTCTTGGTATTATTTCTTTTGTCTGGATTGTTTTCTGAGAAACCTAGTACTTTTACCTATATTCACCTACTCATTTAAATATATTTACCCTTTATTTTCTTTTTGGTATAGTCTGAATTTGTGTGTATAGTCTGAAAACTTTATACCCCAATGTGAGATGAGGCCTTTGGGGGATAATTTGATGGAGGTGAGTTAGGAAGATGGAGTCCCCTCTTCCTTCTAGGAACTTACTTTCTAAGATTATAGACTCTTTTCCCACCCTAGGGAAGAGTGTCTAGAAGCTGCAGCAGCAGTACTCTGTATCTTACTGGCCACAGCTAAACACACCTGTGTCTTGTTGAGCTGGTGCCGGTTATACTGTCCCCTTTGAATGTCCATTAATGTTTCCACATTAAAAAAAATCATTAAAATTTTTACTACATATTCAGCTGGAAGAAAATTACCACCATTTCAACACCCCCCCCCCCCGAAAAACATATAAGTCTCTTGGTTTTAGGCTCTTCAACACAAGGGCCAACCTGAGTACTGTGTTTAAGGTTCTGTCTGAGGCTGTATACCATCCTGTCTTTCAGTACCACAGAGGTACTATGATGAACAGGATCCATCTGGTGTGTAGTAAAACCCAGAGGGAAGTGAGCTATATGCATGAGCACATACATACATGGACATGTTTTCCTTCCTTCTATAATCTTCTTTTCCAGACTTCTTTTCCAGCGCTGGGGATAAAGTTGGGGCCTTTATAGGATAGCTGAGCACAAACTACACCCCTGGCCCTTCAGTGTGAAAGAGTGTGTGTGTGTGTGTGTGTGTGTGTGTGTGTGTGTGTGCGCGCGCGCATCCATACGCTCATGTGTTCATGTGATAGCCTCCCTGTAGCATTCATGGTGGTCTGGAGCTTATTATAAAGCTTAGACTGGCCTCAAACTTCAAACACTCTTGATTTTTCTACCAAAAGAAAGAAATCATGAACTAGTCAATTACTCCATTTTTAAGCATGATTACAATAAAGAAGGGTTTTTTTGATTAACTAAGAAATAAAAATATATAACCATTTTTACTAACTTAAAGATTATCTAGAAACCCAGCAATAGGACTCCTTTCTTTTATAGATCCTACATTTCTCTAAGTTCTTAACTCTACTTGGGTAAAACTTTTAAAAGTGTGAAAGGGTGTTCTGCATACACACATATCTGGTCCCTGTGGAGGTCAGAGAAGGACACTGGATGCTCTGGTACTGCAGTTAGAGACAGTGCTGGGAATCAAACCCAGGGCCTCTGGAAGAATAGCCAAGTGCTCTGACCTGCTGAGCCAGCCTGCTGGGTAAAACTTTTAAAAGCTCATTGATAGTATAGCTAATAAGGATTTAGTAAAAATTTTAATTTTAAAACAATTGGCTAGATAAACTGAAGAAACTTGAAAATAATGGAAATATGCCAGTGGGAGACAAAAAGGGCAAATAAAATTCCAAAGAAAGCCAAAATGATTATTTTATTAATTACTCATGCCTCTGTTTCTGAATTAGAGACAGACATACTTGTTTTATAGTAACCACTGCTCAACAGCATAAATCACTCTAACAATGAGACAGCATCAACAATTTATTTGGGCTAATTCATTTATTCAATTAATGAATAATAACTCATTATTATTAGGCTGGTAAGCCTAAACTATCCAGTTTATAGACAAGAAAACAGATTCAGAAAGCTCAGTCAGCTACTCAAGAAATGTTCAGAGCTCAACTGGGGCGTCCACCCGGGCCCAGTCACCAAATCCACTGGGCTATATTGAAGTACGAATTCCGTGTCTCACTGAAATTATCACCAAATTTGTCTGTCTTCAAGTAACATTTACAAATTATAGCCACTTCCACTAATATATTGAAACTTATCAAGGGCTTTCTAAAAGGAGGACGTAGACTTTGGGACCTGTATTCCACTCTTTTCCTAATGCTGTGACTAAAATACTGGGTATAAACAGAAAAAGGAAAGCAACAGTTCTGAATATAAAACTAACAAGTTTGACTCTAAAGACAAAGAATTAATACTATTTAACTGAAGGCAAATATCACATAAACTCCAAATAAACTATAATATCAAATTTGAAGCTAAAGTCACAAAAAGTATATCACATGTCAAATTTGACTTCGACTATAGTATCTGGCTAAAGAGCAAAAATGACTAAAACTATTACTATTAACAGCATGACACAGTCAACCAAGCATCTCACCCTTACAAGATCAGAGTCGTCTCTCTTGTCACTTTTTTTTCCTGGCAAAGGTGAAGAGATTGTATAATCTTCATTTTCACTGTGATCCATTTCAGAGCTATCAAGCCTTTGAATAGAGACATCTGTAATTACTTCTACAATCACATAACCTGAAAAGCCTTTTTGATTGTTTCATTGTATAGCATTATAACTTCATAAGCAAGGACTTCATTCATTTAAAAAATTGTTTTTTCCTATCATATTTAGCACCAAAACAGTAAGCAATGTAGTCCATTTAATAAATTAAGGAAATAAGTAATACATTCATTTTACCACATGATGTTTTGAAAACTAGATTCTATTTTGGAGCAGAAGCATGGAAATTAAAACCTGTTGCTAATACGTGTCAGTTGGCGTACATGCAGCTTAACCCTGCTCTGTTGCCCCCATCGTTACTTCTCTCTGTAGCAAAGTCATGGCGTGTCTTACTTGACTTATTCCTTCTGTTAACATATGTAAGCACTGATTTTGACAATTTTACTTAGTGTGTAAACCTGTGCAGGGCTCACAGCAGGCACTTAACAGACTTGCTGAATGAAGTAAAACACATGCTCTCATAAGCTTAGAAAATTCTAGTCTTCTGCATCATCCTTAGTAACTGCTTATCCCAGCACCCAGGAGGCAGAGGCAGGTAGATTTCTGAGTTCAAAGCCAGCTTGGTCTATAGATCAAGTTCCAGGACAGTAGGGCTTCAGAGAAACCCTGTCTCAAAACAAACAAATCAATTTGTGTATACACTGCTGAATTCATAAATCTCAAGCTCTAGCCAACAAGAAGGTGCATTTTTACAAGAAAAAAGAATCCTTGTTAAAACTTTTTAAACAAAGTTTATATATATATACATATATATATGTATATATATATAAAAGAAATAAAAACAGTATAGAATACACACCCCATGTTAAGTTATTATGAACATTATTAAGATGCTTTTTTCCCAAAAAGTTCCTATTGAATGCAAACCAATGTGATTAGGAAGCCATTCCAAAATAAAGGCCCTGCCTGCAACACTGATCTCTCTTTGACCCCCACCACAGTGCAGATCTAATGGGTAATAAAATTTTTTTTAAAAAGCCAACAAAACACTTAATTTACTGTGCATATACATGTGCATTCCAGTACTGTAACACGTGTGGACAGAGAACATGTTAGTCCCAGGGCCCAGATTATCAGTCTTGGTAGAAAATGCCTTTACACACTAAGCCAATCCTCTGGCCCCCTGAATTGTATGTGTATGTATATTTTGCCTGCACGTATATCTACAGATTATATGTATGCAGTGCCTGCGGAGGCCAGAAAAGGGTGTTGAATCCCCCAAAACTGATGTTACAGATGCCTGTAAGCAGCTATGGATTGCTGGGAACCAAACCTGGGTAAAAAGGAAGAGTGGCTAGTGCTCTTACCTGCTCAGCCATCTCTTCAGGCCCTGATCTCATTATTCAGGTATTCCACTGAATGAATGAACCGGAAGTGAACAACTAACTGTATAAATGGTAAACAATGAGGTCAAATATTTATTGTGTATACTAAAGAGATCACCCCAGGAAGCTTACATATGAAAAACTAAGTGTCAACTATTTGTCAGTAACTACCAACTCATCTCTACTCACTACCATCAATTATCTATAACTGTATTATTTTAGACCTCACAGCCTTGTTGGAATCAAATATAAAATGAGATGTCTCTTGTGCACTTGCCTCCCTTTTATTCTTCCAGGAGAGCTTGGATTTGAGCTACTGCTTGCGTTGCTCACAGTTTCCATTCTTGATGATTTGGTCTGAGACTGTTTGCCTGCTGATGAAAGCGGCTTATTAACTGCTCCTAGAACGTTGGCTGTTTTAGGCTGAAATGAGAAATACATAACTCTTTCTATTTAATCAACACTAAAAGAAACTGACATATCAAGAACTTCTAGCAACAATTTCAACACCTTTACACACAAATAAAAAATGTATAACTATCCTTAAGCAAAATAAAGATGATGAACTGAATTATCACTTACACAAATCAAAAACTTGTAAAACAGTGCATGCCTGTAACTTCAGCACTTAGGAGGCGAAGGAAGGAGTTCTGCAAATTCAAAACTATCCTGGGCTACCTAGCAAGGTCATTTCAGAACAAACAACAAACCCCAAAAGCAACAGATCAACTGAGCTGTAATTATTTGTAGGAAAAGGTTTTCACTGTAAGAGAACAAATGAAATGAAAAGCAATCATGAAAATAGAGCCTTGTGCTATGAAGGGTGGTAAGACATCATCTTTAAGATTTTTATCTAGCTTGGTATAAGAAGTCTAAAGGATAAAGGTCTTTAAGTTTTTTTTGTTTGTTTGTTTGTTTGTTGTTAAGCATCTTAGCTGGTATCTAAATAGTAAATACAATTAGTTTTTTAATCAACAAATGGAAGATAGCTAATTATATTTCCTATCTTGAGACACAAAAATTCTCAAAGAAATAAAATATCACAAGTTGGCAAATAATCACACTAAAACTAATTACCATATAAATACTAAAACAATTCTCAAAACATACTTTTCCAGGAGTAAAAAATGATTTCATTTCTGGAGGCAGGTAATTTTTGGTGTTACTGAAATTCTGTAAGCAAGAGAAAAAGCAGTCAGTGAGCACCAAGACAGCTCTGTGAGAGACACAAGCCAACAAAGTTCATATTTATTTAAACAAATCAGTTTGAACATGAAACTTCAGGCAGTGGTTCTGACAGACCAATCTCATAGCTATTCCAATATGAAATGTGCCAAGCAACACACATTCCTGCACAGCACTCAAGGGACGAAGCCCCACAGTCCCTGGCTATGCTGCTCATATCTAAGGGGATGCTTAAGAGACAAGTCTTTTAACTTTATGTAAACCCACAAGGCCGTTTTAAATCTCGATCCACAGCCAAGATCTTAACTGGTATACTACTTACAATACAGACGGGACAATGGAGCTTTTCACGCTGTTATTCAATCAGCTCAGAGAAGAGTCTCTGTGAGGGCCTGTGTAATACTGTATCAGGTAGGACATGGTTCATGACTACCCTTGCAGCACTGGAACCTTGGGCCCTACTATCCCAGGTCTATGCTGTTTCCTTGCACCACCTTCTAAGTCCTCACCCAGGGCTTGCAACTTCAGACTACAGATTAGTGTTCCAACTCCTGTTTTGGATCAAAGGCTATTAATTCACAAATGCTCTGGCAGAGATTTCTCTGCTCCTGGCATGGCTTCAGACTTTGAAACAAATTCTGGATCATCCCTTCATGGCTCCACTCTGGTCCACACTTGGTCTCGAGTCACATTTCTGAGCCCAGCGCCCTTTCCAAGCATCGAGAGTCGGCAGCTGTTAGTACTGGTCCTCCCTTGTCTCCCTACAGCCCAGCGCTGAGCACACACTTCATCTTCACTCCCACAAACAAACCCTAAAGTAACTACCTTGTCTGGCTGGGTGAAAAACCGAGCTGGTAGCACTGGGTCTTTAGGGGACTCCAAACTGTATGTGGTGCTCTTCGACATGATGATGTTCATGGCAACATCACAAACAGTGTACAATTTCTGTAATGGGATGCTTTCGTTAGTTACTGTGATTGGTACCTTAGACTCTGTCAATTAGTAGTGATTCTAGAACATGTATTAAGACTTAACAGTAAACAAATTAAAGAAATCTTTAGGATAGATATTGTGGCTTCTATTATTATGTATAGTACAACAAGATCCATATGATTCAGGGTTAGAATTGCTACTAAATTAATACTAGTGTTGATATAATTTTGCGTTAGCAATTCCAAATATCATTAGTAGAAAAAATAATACTGTTAAAAATATTAAGGATGTTGTACCCTATACCAAAAAATTTAAATCAACATGGCATCAAATTACTTATTATAAATTACATACTTCATTCATTTTTGTATCATCTGGTCCTTGAGCATCTTTTGTCTGTTTAATATTTTCTACCATCTTTCTGATAAATGCATGGCTGTTGTTTTCATTTTTAGCCATCAATATCTCCAGAACAAACCAAAGACATCTATGAACACAAAAACCAAGAAAAATACAGAATAAATCTTTTGTTAAATACAGATACAATGATTCTCAATATTAGCATAACGAATCTAGACTATAATTCCAGAAGAGGAAAAATTTAAAAGAGGCAGCTACAAACTTAAAATCAAACAGCAGGGAAAAATGCGTGAGTTACATACTGCACATGCACGTACGTATGCATGCATACATGCATGCAAGCAAGCATGTACGCATGCACTATAATAGATCAGCAATGCAGATGTAAGCTCAGAATCTCAGCAGGTTGTACATGAAGAAGGATAAAAGAAACACAGAAATAGAAAGAATGAAACAGTTTTAACTCTGTGCTATATGACATATGACAGTAAAGAAAGACTGGCTATACAACAATGAGGTGACTTAAGTCCTGATGGGACAGCTTTAAAAAAAAAAAAAAAAAAAACCACGATACCTGAGCCAATGGTTAGGAACAGTCAAATAAATGAGAAAGGGAAGCATGGCTAACACTTATACACATTGCCTTTGCTTATTGAGGAAAAACACACTTAAATACCCCTCCCCTCTAAGAAAGGAATCAATTACTGTTGATACATCAAGGACAAAAACAACAAGAAAGGGAAATGTGAGGCAATTGCTCAGGTTGTACTCCACAGAAAAGGCATTTCATCTATTTAAAGAAAAAAAGACAGTGCTCTCAGATAAAGCAGCCAGAGTTCCTCATTACTGGTAATCACTCTAACATACAACCCATTTTTAGATAGCATATTAAAAACAAATATTATGGTAAACAATACTGGAATTCTCCCCTTGTCATAGTAACCTAATGATAATCTAATTTTGTTTTCCTGCAATATCTTAAATAACCAGCCATATTTCTATGAATCAAGAGACTAACTATCATTTTACTAGTGCATTAATGACATACTAAATTAATTGCTTCCCAATCACAATAGTCACATTTTATTATAACAGAAATAAGACCAGTGTCTCAAGTTTATTCTAGGAATTATGCTGGTCTTCAAATGTCTCTCAGTATCATATTCCCCTATTCTCTCTCTACACAGACAATAATCTTTACTGTAATTAGAGAACAGCAATTAAGTTAAAACTAAGAATACACACTCCCTTGCTTGTGAAATGTGGCCTATTATGAAGAAGCTATTCTTTCTTTTTACAAAGACAGTTACTGCAAAGATAAATGTGCTTACTATCTGAATAAGGAGATTACTAATTCTCTGCACATGAAAAGCTACAATTTGGAAGAAAATAAAAGACAAAGACTGGAAGAGAAAAATCCGAGTGCATTACTTCCATAGGAAAGCAAAGCCACGACTGCAGAGAAATAACTAGAGTTTTTGGAAATTAGATAAGAAATGTAATGTGAACAGATGAAATAACAAAGACAAATGAAGAGAGTGACTAAGAAAGAACCTTAATAAAATGAAACAAATAACAACTATAGTTAATATCCCATTATCAGCAGCAAGGAGGTAAAAAACAATGCTCAGAAATAGGAAAATGGGATGAAAAAAGTCTTACTCTTTCACATCTTTAAGTTGCTCGATGTCCTGTACTTTAACATAATCAGGGTCATGTGCCAAAAGGTGAATTGTATATGGAACAACATACTCTGGTAGAAGAGACAATAACTTTTCTGAAAAACAAAACAATAAAGAAAAGAGCAAACAAAAACATCCAGGTTAGAAAGATCAAATCACATGCTCTTTTGTATGTTTCCTATATCCCTGTGACTTGCCTCAATATGGCTGGCAGAACAGCACACTCAAACACCCAGTGATGAGAGACGTGGTGAGCTGTTTAAAATGTCTAGTTAGCACGCCAAGTGCTGAGCAGCAAAAAAGGACAAATATTTCAGTTTTCAAATGCATATGAAAAGAGTGATCCACACACACTATTAAGATTGAGATGTAAGATCTATTCTCCTTTATTCTATAAGCAATGGTGTGTTGACATTCTCTGACAAGCTATCAGAGTGGACATAAGGACAGAAGTAATGGAAGGATCATACAAAAGAGCAGAGGTCCAAGGACAGTGTAAATAACAAACAACTTTTCAGTTTAAGTTCAAGTATTTTTTATTTGTTGACTGAGACTATCAAATTATACTGTAGAGGTCAGAATGGCATGCAAACTTTATTTGGCAAACAAATTCAAAAAGACTTAGATTCAGTCTCGTAATCCATTTTAGTCAGATGTTCAACCAGGAGCACAATGCATGTCAAAAAGCATCAGACAGTCATTGGTAATTAAAGAGCAAGCATGAGAGAAACAAATTGCAAGGCTCAAATTTCAGTGATATTTAAGTTAAATTATGTCAAATAATTATAGAGTGCTTACTACTTTATATCTATATAAATATATATAAAGATAAATGAAACCAGGTAAGGCACTCATACTAAAGTAGAACTTAAAATGAGAGTAGCTAAATTGGCCGTTGATGATACATGCCTTTAATCCTAGCACTCAGGAGGCAGAGGCAGGTGGATCTCTATGAGTTTGAGACCAGCCTGGTCTACAAGACTAGTTCCAGGACAGGCTCCAAAGCAACAGAGAAACCCTGTCTCAAAACCTTCCCCCCCACCCCCCCCAAAAAGAGTAACAGAGTAGCTAGCATTACTAATGACTTCTCTGGGCCATTTATTTTATTCTAGGTGCTTTACACATCATTTTTCAATCCATGTAACAACCACAATAAGTAAGTATAATTATATCAAATTTAAAAACAAGCGAACTAAGCCATGGGTTACATAACCTGGCCAAACACAGCCCATAAACAGCAGAGGTGGGATGTGACTACACAGCCTTCACATTTTCCAAGATGAGGAAAAAGAGAAAGAGGATCACAGTGGTCAACTGATACTAAAACTGTATCCCAAATGACTCAAAGGGGTAAACTGTATGTATGTATGTCCCCCAGCTCTGTCTGTCTAAAAGAAGAGAAGAGATTTCCAGACTAACAGAGTAGGGAGAGGCAGGCTGCACAAAAATTCAAGTAACTTTGCACACTGAGCATAGGCACATAGGAGGGAGCAGCAGTGGTAAGCGACCAGGGAAGAATTTAAACTTGAGCTGAGTATAAAATATGAGTAGCCACCGGGTGCTTCAATGTCATTCATGAGCAGTTGAGAACCTACATGTATTTCAACCTACAAGAACGGATGACTGGTCTGTACTGGAAGGGTAATGCACAGTGTGGTACAGTGGGAGGGGAAGGGAGGGACAGAAGCAAGGCATTTACAACATGGTGTGAATTAAGAGCATCTACAATAATTCAAGTCAAGTATAGCTAAGTAGGAGAGCAGCAGATTATCCGCGCATCCAGAACAAGGGCTAATGGTTTTTGGTGGCTGAAGAGAGGGAAAAAAAGAAGCCTCTGATCTGACTTGGATAACCAGGTAGGTGCTGATGCCTCCTGTCTGTTAAGGCACAGAGATAAAGTGGCATACCAACTGCCTCAGGAGGCAGAGAGCACAGGGAAGGCAGGCAAATAAGCAACTGACATGCTAGCTACACCTGAGAACAAAGATCCAAGACAGCGCTGACACAGTACAAATATATATGCAAATCTGGCTGTTTTCTAGTACCACCAATGTCAGATTTAGTGAGTTACACAAAAATAATGAAACTCAAATACTCACAAGTGTGTGTATATATATATATATATATATATATATATATACACACACACACACACACACACACAGAGAGCGAGAGAGAGAAAGGGAAAAGTAGCTATTGAAAGACACTGACTTTTTAAGTGTACACCATAATAAAGGACAATTGTATGTTTTGCTCTGTGACTGGAAGGGGCATTTTTCACACCCATGCACTCACCACTAACAGCTGCATGTTGTTTCAGATACTCCCGCCTCACAGTGATATTCTTCACCAGGCACTGTCTAGCATGAGCTCTTCTCTCCTTCACAGGGTCTTTGGCACAAAGTGCACAGATGGCCATATACTCAAGTGGAAGTCGTAATCGGGAAAGCCCTTTATGGAGTTTCTGAGCAAACACCTGCCTGACTTGATAGCACTCATCCTGTAAAGATAAAATTATTCTAGGTATTATCCACAACGCAGTAAGAAGTTACAATTTCAGATATGACCAAGTTGATAAACAACCCGAGTCTATGTTCATAACAGACCTGTGACTGACTCTACCTCAAGGCTGGAGTATTCAACTAGATCCATTAACTACATTACATCTGTTAGACGACAAAAAGTATACTTGCCAGGCAGTGGTGGCTCATGCCTTTAGTCCCAGCACTTGGGAGGCAGAGGCAGGTAGATCTATGAGTTCGAAACCAGCCTGGCCTACAAAAGCTAGTTGCAGGACAGGTTCCAAAGCTACACAGAGAAACCCTGTCTCAAAAAACCAAAACCAAACTAAACCAAGCCAAACCAAAAAAAAAAAAAAAAAAAAAAAAACAATAAGTATATTCTTAAAATAGATGAAACTAGTACATCTCTCTCAACTGAGTATAATTAAAACAGTATTAATAAAGTAAGGGGCTGAGCATATAGCTCAGCACAGCACTGGTGTCTTAGGCAAAGTGTCTGACTACCTTATGACTTGCTTCATTCATCCAAATCATCTCTCTCTCTAGCAATCATCTCCTTGTTCTTAGAACAACTCATCTATTTAAAAACAGCATGTAATCTGTATCCTATGCTGGCCCATGTTCTGAGCACTCTGCATATCTTTAGCACAGACTGAGGCTGTTTTTTTTTTTTTTTTTAGTTGTCTGCCTTATTCATTTGCTGATTTCTCAAAAACAGGAATAATGTTTTTATGTACCTTCCTATCTAGGGCTAGTACAGTCAGTAACCAGCATACAATGGGTCAGAATTTCTTCAAAGCTAAAGGACACAGCTCCAATTTGTCTCCATGACATACAAATACCTTCATAATTATATCCTCTCAACTTGTGTGTTCTCTTATTATTACAACTTTAGGCACATCATTTCTTCTGTCTCTAATGACAACTGGGTTTTTCTTCAAAATGTGTGTGTGTGTGTGTGTGTGTGTGTGTGTGTGTGTGTGTGTGTGTGTGCGCGTGCGTGTACTATATGTACATATGTACTATTGCATTTATCTTTACTATTCCTCTGTAATTCAGGGATTGAGCCTAGAGGCCCCAGAATGTTAGACAAGAGTTCTACACTAGCTGGACTCTACTACTAGCACTTGGACATTTTCTGATTTTGTTCTTTCAAAGTTTTATTTTTACGTGCATGTATGTTTTGCATGCATATGTACTGTGTATCATGTGGGTACGGGGTGCCTGTGAAGACCAGAAGAGAAAGTAAGATTCCCTGGAACAAGAGTTACAAACAGTTTTGAGTCAACCAAACATAACTCTTCTGGATGAGCAACCAGTACTCTTGAAGGGCGAGCCATCTAACCAGACCCATCACTTGGTCCTTAGGTTTTTTTGACACAAGGTATCACTCAAGCCTCCTTAATGCTGAACTTATAGGCACGTACCATTATGCCTGGTTAATGTAGCTGGGGTAGGGATGTGTCATGTGTCCATCTTTAAGCTTTTATGGTATACATTCCCTTTCATTTAATTTCAATTTCAACATACCTACTACTTTAAAAAAATTATTCAAGTGTCCACAAAAATTAAGTCTTTCTACTATCAAACTCAATAAAATTATCCTTCAGTATTAATGAGAAATTCACACATGATTCATGAAAATATCCAATTTACTACAAATGCCAATTTAAAATTTTATAATCAAAGTCAACTTATTTTCAACATACTTCCCAGTGAATAGATCATTCTTTAAAAAAAAAACATACCATTCAAGACATCTCACCTTCCTACTGAGACACACCCCTTAATGACAGTTCTGTCCCTCTCACTGACAGCTCAGTATTTAATAACCAAATGCAAACTTGTTACAAAGCCAACTTATCAATCACTTTAAACCTAATGGCCAAGCCAGGCGTTGGTGGCTCACACCTTTAATCCCAGCACTTGGAAGGCACAGGCAGGTGGATCTCTGTGAGTTTGAGGCCAGCCTAGTGTACAGAGCTAGTTCCAGGACAGCCTCCACAAAGCCACAGAAAAATCCTGTCTCGAAAAACTAAAAACAAACAAACAAACAAAAAACCACCAAAACAAAACCCAAACAAATAAACAAAAAAACTAACGGCCTTCAGTTATTAGAAAACTATTAGCTCATAGAGGAGAAACTAACAATTAACTACAGAAAAGATAAACTGTGAATACATAGGGTGTTTCAAGAGATGTTACAGGGGAATTAACAATATTACATAAAGATGTAAAATAAGAAACAGCAAGACAATTTTACCAAAAAGAAATTCTCACAAAGGCAAATACTTATACTTTCATAACCATTGGTTATTAAAAAAATAATTCATTGGGCATATGAAAAATAAACTACAGTTTTTTGCTTCCTAATATAAAGTTCCAGTCAAAACAGGTTCATTGCTACAAGTTTCGTTTTGTTTTCATCATACCTCAGTCTACTTTCAGAGAACTTCTGAACACAAATTATCCTTATAACTTCCTCTAGTAGCTTAGCAATAGTTGAGTTATTCTGTGTACCTTATGTTATCAACACTTATCTGTATTTTCTATTCTGAGAGGTTGTTAGCTTTCAGGACTACAACCATGACTTATTCAGCTTTGTATTTCTAGAATCTAGAACAATATATTCCTCAAAATAGCACAAAGTAAATTTTTTCATGAATTGAATTTCAGATTCTAAATACCTAAGCAACTATTAAATGTGTTGTCATACTATTCAATCTCTATCTACCCCCCACATTTAATGTCTGTTCAAATATACAATAATAGTACTTTTAAAAGAGCCTCACCTCAAGAAAGAAAACAAACCAAAAGTACAGAAAAAGTCAAAGCACAAGGCTGAGCTTTGTGTGTGGCAAAGGAGTGAAAATAAAATCTGGAGGGAATTAAAACAACAGAGACTGCATCCAGCTAAGAAAACCAGGGCAAGTATTGTGGGAAAGATCACATCTGAACCTTCATTGTCAAACGGTTAAGTAAGTGCACACATGGAAGGATGAGACAAAAACCAGAGGCATCAAAAACAGGCTAAACACAAGTGCTCAGTTTCACTGCAATGAAGTAGAGGAAAGGTAGTACACTGTAAAGCATCGTTAATCAACTTCCTGATGCTGCGACCCTTTAATACAGTTCCTCATGTTGTGGTCACCCCAACCATATAACAATATTTTAGTTGCTACTTTATAACTGTAATTTTGCTACCCCTATCAATAACAATATCAATAGCTGTGTTTTCCAGTAGTCTTCTGATTGTCATGACCCATGAGTTGAGACCACTGTTGTAAAGATAGTATTAAAGACATTAAAATATGTGTTTAGATTCAAACAATAGAGAGGCTCAAATGTCAGGTTATAAAATACATTTGTTGGTTGTTTCTTTTTTGTTGTTGTTGTTTTTTTTTTTTTTTTTCCTTTTCTTTCAAGCAAGTATGAGTTCTTAAATGTGTTTGACAAGGAGAATAACTTGATGAGAACTGTGGTTGGGGAAATTTATCCAACAATAGACAAAGTGCCCTGGATGAGTGCAGTAGTGGGACAGTTGCTGCATACCAGAAGGTAGTTCTGAGAGTCAAGGCTTCTGCAACAAGTGGAAAAATACAAAGGGAGGCAAGCCTATGTCATGTCTTTAGATTTACTGATACATGTGTTTATGTATTCTCACTTTTAAAAGATTTTATTTAAAAAATTTTATTTAGAATACTTCTACCTTGAAACTATCTACCCTATGTCTTAAAAAAATAAAAGCCCAGGAACAAGCTTTATAAAATTTTGGTAACAGTTGTTCCTCCTTATTCACAGATTCTGTCCACACTTAGGGATTTGCCTACTCATTTATTTCTAATTCCAAAATCAACACCTGCAGCAATGATCCAGTCATTAGCAAACAGATGTGCGGAGCATCAAACAGGGAAGGAGCCTGTTGTGCTCATCCCTACAGAGAAGCCCAGCTTTGTCTCCTTGGTCTACCTGGTGACACACTGTATAGTGCTATTCTTGTTGGTGACTGACATTTAAACAGTTCCCAACAAGTGACCAAATACAGCAGCGGACGAAATATAAGACCACACTATGCCTTACAGAGAAAAATGCATGGGCTATAGTAAAGCCTCACCGAGGATTGAGTGGTGATGCTGTTTGTTGACTATGAGCTCAGTGTTAATCAAAGAGCTATGTGCATAAATGAGGTGTCCTAAAGCAGACACCCAGAAAGCAAGGCTGTGCGCTGACCAGTGGATGGAAGTTTGTGCCCCATCTCCTTGAGGAGTTATGGTTCAGCCAGTGCAAGACTCATTCAGTGAGTGTGGGATTTTGCAGACTACAACACCAAAGCAGTTCCATACACTGTGCTAGGAAACCAATGGCCATTTTAGACCTCTGAAGAATTTCTCATGAAAGAAAACAAACATTCAAGGCTCTGATGCTATTGCAGCAATTTCTTCCTATAAGCCCAAGAGCACGTGATAGTATTCCCACTAGCCACTGTCCTTACATTGATGGCTAGTGCACACAGCTGGTACTGCTCCAACGTGATGATCTCATGGTAACAGGGCTCCTGTGCCAGTTTCACAATAGCACTCCCAGCAGCAAGTCTCAGGCGAGACATATCTGGTTTACTAAAAGAGAAGCAAAAACAATGTAAGCAAGACTTCTACATGCCTGGTGTGGGAGAATCATTCTTACCTCATTCACCTAATGTTTAAAATAACCCTCTATAGGAAAGCAGAAAGTCCTATGGTCTGAACATTCTTCACCTCCTCAGATTACATACTCTGAAGTCCTAGGCCAAAGCAGAATTACAAGGGAGTTTTCTAGAAGGTGATGAGGTTGAGTGGGCAAAACCCTCAGGACTTACAAAGAGGAGGAAGGTGGAGCTTGTTTTTACTATCTGGCATATGGGGCCACAGTAGTCAGTCAGTCTACATACGGCACAGAGCTCAAGAGAACCCAACCAATGCCAATGTCTCTTAAATATGTTGCTGACAGTTCCTACTAAAGCCATTCAAGTTTTCTGATCCTACACATCATAACCTAGGCAGGAATAAAAGACATTTATTTATATGTTGGTTCACCTGTTCAATTTTAACTACAGTACTACTGATTTGTGTGTGTGATCTTTACTCACAGGTCAGCATGAATGTCTTTATTTGCTAATTTGTGTATCACAACTACTGTAGTAAACATAAAACAAGAACCATGAAAGCAGGTGTAGTAGCTAAAACACCTCCATAGGCATGCAGAAGAAATAGCTCACAATAAAAGCAATGGATAAATGGTAGATCTGAATTTGAATGTCTGTAGTCTGCCTTCAGTCTGTCAATGTTCTCAACTTCTCTCTCTCTCTCTCTTTTTTTTTGGGGGGGGGGTTTCAAGACAGGGTTTCTCTGTATTGCTTTGGAGGTTGTCCTGGTACTCGTTCTGTAGACCAGGTTGGCCTTGAATTCACAGAGATCTCCTGTCTTTGCCTCCTGAGTGCTGGGATTAAAGCTGTGAGCCACACCTGGCTGTTCTCGACTTCTTAAGTACAGCCAGGAATAATTAATATAAATAAGTATGTATAAAAACAATGTAATTAACAAATTGGGACTAAACATATTAATGCCAAGGATTTTCTCTGCCAGGCTGAGCTTAGCAATACAAATTTATCTCAAATGCAGTATGAATTTTAAATCAAAAGCATCCTTATTAAAAGTAATGAACATGCCTAAATTATTGGAGGAAAGCAACAAATTAGGTTAAAAATGGTAAGCTCATGATCTGTGTCTATAGCACTAAGTTCTACTTTTATTACTTCATTTCAGAAATATGTAGTGTTAAATTCCAGGCACAGGGGACACTATGAATGAAACATATAAGGAGAACAGATTGCGGTGGTGGTGAGGGGGGCTCAGTGTTAATACTATTTGCCTAGCATGGAAGTCCTAGGTTTGATGCCCAGCACTATCAGAGTGGAGAAGGTTGGGGCGGGGGGGCGGGGGGGGAAGGTGCTGGAAGAAGAGAATGGAGAAGAAAAGGTGTCTGGTTTTCTCATTAAAGAACCTAGATGTATTAATGAGGGAAATGATTCTATTTTTTTGATTGCTAAGAAACATCGCTGAACAGCATTTGAGATCAATTCTACATTATCAGCTAATGCTATAAAAAAAAAAATCATCCATGTTCCTATATGCTATACAATGCTGTGAATACTTCAAATAGCCTAACATACATTACTGTACCACAGTGGTACACTAAGACAAGTTGGTGTCAGGGGCACTGACAACCTGAAGTAACTTAGTAACGTTCAGCTAACTAGAAAGTGCTAAGAGTCAGGGTTTGAATCTGCCTGGAGTATACAATTTCAGGACCTGAATCTGAGTTTCGTCACAGTACAATCAGTTAACCCTGGGTATCCTAAGACAAAAGAAAAAAAAAAAACAATGCTTCAACCCCTCATAGGAAAATGACATCATTTTTGTATGGATTATGCGCAACCTTCATTCAGCTCTAGATTACAACGCACACGGTGGCTATGCTGCATGGTGCAGGAAACTGTAAAGGGACGTCTATGCATTCTCAGTACAGAAAAGAGAACTGCTGTCTGGTTATTTTAGATCCATAAGTAGTTGAATCCACAGATGTGGACTTATGAACATGGAGTACTAAATTATGTTTCATCATATAAACAAAAACAGCCTGTATATTTTAAATGACATGCATGGAATACATTTAAAATTTTTTGTTTACTGTATTCTAGAAACAGATTCAATAACTTGTTTTTTCCCTTGAAACACTAGCAAATTTGTCAAACAGTATAGATCTCTATACTAGCAGTTATACATAGACTGTGATAAAGAGCAAGGATCTATCCTTTAAAATATTTGCAGTGTCTAGATGGTAGAACCCTGTCAGACACATAACTATTATACTGCAATAACCATCATGTAAATGCATATTTTAAAAAAACACATGAATACCTACAAATTAAATCTAATTATCTTTTTAAGAAGAAATTCTAACATATAACAGTAATACCAGGAGTTGAAATACTATACAGCCCAAATATCTAAAAACAATAACTACATACCTAATTTTTCCCTGTTCTGTCAAATCTCCATCACTATGCAATATGGTTGTTAGTAATCTGAGGGTAGAAGTTCCTGATTTACTGTGATTATTTTTCATTCCAAGTAGCCATCGAACCATCATTTTAATAGCCTGAATCTATTTAAAAGACAAATTGACCAATAAAGCATTGTTATGTTTAAAGAATTTCCACATCAACTTTAAAAAGTAGAAAAAGGAGGATGCATCTTAAGAAAACACAAAATTCTATATATACAGGAAGATAACATGGTGTTTTAAGTTAGAGCTGTTTCAATCTCCAGGAAAGTGGCAAAAAAACAAAACAAAACAAAACAAAAAACAAAAGCCATTTCACTAAAGATGAGTTCGTTTGTTGCTGTTAACGTTAATGTTTCCCAAGTGTGCACTTCATCCTGTATGACCTAGAGTTAGAATTATGCTAACTTCCCCAAGCAGAAAGTTTCCCACTGTCTACCTAAGAATGGACCCCACTTTCTACATCTTATGATGATGAAGCATGGGAGTACTCCTGCACTTACTGTAGTCTTTGACATACTTATTTATGTTTTTGTTTTGTTTGACTTATCTCAGCTTTCTAAAAGACAAAGGCAACAATAACTGAGCTTGAATAGTGCTAACACACAGTAGTCCCAAAAATGCCTTCCCTGGTCACTTGGTGAGTGCATACTTAGCCTAAATGTCCCATCTTCTCATCCAGTGCTGCCTTGGTGACATAAGACTAGTGCTGAGACCCAAATGCAACTGGTATCACACAGTGAAAACAACAGATGTAAAGGAAGGGCTGCTCAACAGGTGTGCAAACACATCAGAATCTGAGGCTGCAGGAGGATATGGAGCATAACCAAATACATACAAAGAGAAAGAAGGCAGGACAACGTGGGAGCGAGCTCAGAAGGGTGCTAAGAAATTCTAGGAAAAGTCAACATTCAGTATATTTGCTCCTAACTTTTAAACCTGGACAAATACACTGAATGAAGATGACACATATCACATGACTCCAACAAACTGACGCTCTGTATTTTAGTGACAAGCAATTACTTCTGTATAAACCCAAATTCAAGAATTATTAAATGTGTTTTAAATAAAAACTTTTATTAAATCCCAAGGAAAAGACAATTTTAAAACCTGGACTGGCATTGTTACTAAACAGAAGTACATTCAGGAAAAGACACTGTCACTCCATTAAAAGGCCAATTTCTAGGAAGTGGAAATAGGGAAGCAGCTTTCAAATCTTTTCCCCTCAACTAGGTTACATGCTATTGCTCTCAAGGTCACAGACTGCACATCATCTTCCTACAATTTCACAATACATGAAACACTGTAACACAAAAAAGATACAAATTGTTGACATTTAATATCCACCCACATCTATTACTTGATACAGAGAGTATACTAAGAAAAAGAAATCCATGTATGGTACTCACTTTGACCATTGTTTCAGGAGAGACTTCTTCATCTGGAACCCAAAGCTTAGTTGTCTTTTTTGCTGGAAGCTAGACAAAAGGTAGAAACATTAAACTATAAGCATGAATCTTATGTTCAGTTAATATTTACTAAATAAGAGTCCCCTGCAGGGTAAACTGCAGCACTCCCTAGATTCTGTTCCCCAAAACCCATCCCAGGCCTCACCCTTGCCCTCCCACCTCATCATCCCTGCCTCTAACCCCAGCAGACTTCCACTGCCAGATACAAGCAACACCAGTCAGAAAAACAGATGCAGGCCGCACCAGTCGGAGAACAGAGATGCCCTGCTACAACAAAGGCCAAGCTAACCACCAGAAGGCCGTTCCCAAGTTGGATAGTGACTCCCCACTAGAAGGAAGGTCACACCAGCTGCTAGAAAGAGGCCACAAAGACTAGAACCAAAAAGAAAACAAACAAAACAAACAAACAAACAAAACCCAAGGAACAAAACACCCACCCAATAAAGAAAAACCTCAAACTCAGAAACCAACACCACGACCTATAATCATTGCAAATCCAGATGCCGCCGAAGTGTCAATATAGCCAGAGCAATACGTCTCCATCAGAGTCCAGCTATCCTATGACACCAAGAACTGAAAATTCTAACAAATACAGCCAAAGCACAAGAAATGACCATAAATCCAACTTTATTAAGATGGCAGAGGTCCTTAAAGAGAAAATGAAAAACCCTTTTAAAGAAATTGGAGGAAATCAATATATCCCTTAAAGAATGCCAAGAAGCAAGAAAAACAAGAAAAGGAAACTACTAAAGACCTGAAAATTGAAAAAGAAGCAATATAAAGAAAACACAAACTGAGGGAATTCTGGAAATGGAAAGTCTGGGTAAGTGAACAGGACCTACAGACACAAGCATCACCAACGAAATACAAGAGATGGAAGAAAGAATCTCAGGCGTTGAAGATACAATAGAAGAAATGAACTCACTGTTCAAAGAGATGTTAAATCTAAAAAACTAACACAAAACATCCAGGCAAACTGGAACACTATGAAAAGACCAAAACTAATAATAACAGAAATAGAACAAGGAGAAGAATTCAAGCTCAAAATCCAGAAAATAAGGCAGGCATTTTGGCATATACCTTTAATCCAGCACTTGGGAGTCAGAGGCAGGCAGATCTCTGTGAGTTAGAGGCCCGACTTGTCTACAAAGAGAGTTCCAGGACAGCCAGAGCTGTTACACAGAGAAACCATGTCTGGAAAAAAACAAAAACAGACATACAAAAACCAAACAACCAAACAAAAAACAGAAAATATATTTAATAAACTCACAGAAGAAAATTTTCTTGACCTAAAGAAGGACATGCCTATAAAGGCACAAGAAGCTTACAGAACTCCAAACTGATTGGACCAGATAAAAGCCCCTATGCCAAATAATAATCAAAACACTAAACATACAAAATAAAGAAAGAATATTAGAAGCTGCAAAGGAGAAAGGCCAAGTAACATATATGGCACCTATCAGAATTACACCCAAATTCTCAATGTAGACTCTAAAATCCATAAGGGCATGGACAGATGTCTTGAAGATTCTAAGAGACCAAAGATGCCAGCCCAGACTAATATACCCAGAAAAACTCCATAGATGGAGAAAGCAAGGTATTTCATGACAAAGTCAAATTTAAACAGTATCTATCCACAATTCCAGCTCTACAGAAGGTACTAGAAGGAAAATACTAACCCAAGGAAGTTAACTATACCTACAAACCCACAAGCAATATATAATCTCACACCAGTAAAATCCAAAGGGAAACACACACACACACACACACACACACACCACACACACACGTTTTTCAAAATCAATGGACTCAATTCGAGAATAAAAAGGCACAGGTAATAGAATGGATACAAAAATCAGGACCCATCCCCTCCCCTCGCTGAATACAAGAAACACACCTCAACATCAAAGATAGACATAACCTCACAGTAAAGGGATGGAAAAAGATTTTCCAATTGAATAGATAGCTGGTCTAGCTATCCTAATATCTAACAAAATAGACATCTAACCAAAAATTAGTCAAAAGAGATGAAGGACATTTCATACTCATTAAAGAAAAGAAAAAAATGACATCTCAATTTTGGACATTTATGCCCCAAATGCAAGGGCACGCACTTTTGTAAAACAAGCATTACTGAAGCTTAAATAACACATCAGATCTCACACATTAGCGGGACAGAGCAGGTTTCTTACACAGGATGTGAAAATAACAAGAAAAAATGTTAAAGTTAAAACTTTTATTCAAAGGACAACACAAAGAGAGTGAAAATGATACATTGTAAATAGGACCTTGTGGCTACTATGCAACATGTACTCAATAAAGGAAAGATTACTTAACATGCAAAGGGCATTGTAAGTAATTGCAGAAAGAAGGCAGTATGAATGATAACTGGTCAAATGAACTTGAGCATTAGTTAAAAAAAAAAAAAGAAAAAGAAAAAAGAAAATTAAAAGTATAATTTTGGTTGGGGGGGGGGGAGAAAATACCTTTAATCCCAGCACTCAGAGGGAGGCAGAGGCTGGAGGATCTCTGTAAGTTGGAGGCCAGCCTGATCTACAAAGTGAGTTCAGGACAACCAGAGCTGTTACACAGAGAAATCCTGTCTGGAAAATCCAAAAGAGACAGAAGGAGGGAGGGAGAGGGGAGGGAGGGAGGGTCTAACTTTGTATCTATTAGGTGGGCAGAGATTAAGTCATCTGATAATAAATGCTGGTAGGAAACGTCAGCAGTAACTGAGAAGTGATACAGCAGTGAAGTGAGCCCAGACTTGAGAACATCTGCGCAGAACATATGACAGAATGCTGACAAGAATCAAGAACAAACAAAACTAAAGGAGCATCCTAGTCAGACATGCATGAGATGAGTATGAGGTGATAAGTATGAAATAAACAGGAAGGAAACAGAAAACAAGGATTACGGAGTGAGTAATAAAGCAAAGAGTGAACAATATTATTCAACATAAATTGGATAAATGTAACATTCTTTCATTTGCCCATATCCTATATGACATAAAACAGGATAAATTGTTAGATTAATGGTGGCATGAAAGAATTTAATCTATTCTGACAAGACAGATTAGATTATTCTAAAAACTTTCCTACTAAAACAATTAGAAAGGATAGAACAAATGGTTTTGTAAAGTCAGTATGTAAGCAGCAAAAAAGTACCAAAGTAATAACAATTAGCAGAACAGATGATCTGAAGAAGGGATACATCAACAGAGTTGAGCCTGGCACAACAATTACTTTTCTGACTAAGGTGATTTCTTGTTCTAAAAGTGGAAAATGAGGAGTCTGAGAGGTCCACCAACCCTGTCATCACGTCACAGGACTTAAGGATAAAATTAGGAATCACGGGCCCAGTAAGTAGCAGAGGCCTTAATGAGTACCTGAGAATTTTAGAGAGTTCCCAAACAAATATACCCTAGACACAAAGAAAAGACAGCAACTGACCAATAACTGAAGCCATAGATAAGGGAAACTCAATGGAACTAACACAGGAGCTCCTGAGTTAGATTCCTAGCACCAGAAAAACAAACTATTGAAAAAGCCTGAAGCCCAGTTTCCAACAGGACCAAAATGATCTGACAAGGAGCTAGAGTAAATCTTCACTGCTGAACATAAATTTGAGAACCTCAAATTATCTCTACTTTCATATTAAAAAGTCAACCAGGCCAGGATATGGCTCAGTGGCAAAGTGCCCCCACAAGATTCTAAGTTCTTCATCCCCACACACAAAAAAACTGCCAGGTATGGTAGTCTACAACTTTAATTCTAGCACCCAAGGGGCACAAACAAGCTGATCACTGTGAATTCAAGGCCAGTCTCATCCACATCTCCAGTTACAAGCCAGCCAGGGCCACAGAGTAAGATCCTATCTGTCTCCTCCCCAAAAGTCCACCACTTAATCAAAACTCCATGTCCTTGTATAATTTAGTTTCATGTAAAACCAAAACAGCCACAATTGGGTGTTATCTTACAACTCCCCAGGGGGGTCTATTGCAGATCAAATGCCCGGTTCAAACAAAGATGTACCAGTGTTACTTTATTTCTGATGAAAACCTTAAATGAAAGCAACCAAGTGGAAGTGTTGTTATGTATCCCACCTCTCTTTAATATAAAACCACATGCAGAACACTATGAAGGTAACAAATCTAAAGACATAACTTACCCGGTCATTCATGAGAAGGTCCTTCACAATAAAAGTTGCTACCAAAGACTTCAGAGGAGCAGCAAACTGATCAGGTGCGAGAAGAGCAATATGACCAATAGTGACTAGTGGGGTTATAAGATGTTCCAGGTTGCTTGGATCTAGGCTCTTATGAAGAGGCTGAAAATGAAGGCAAGAAAATATATTCAGTTCTCTATAGATACAAATAAAACTGCTCCTGTATTTCACCTTTTAATTATGAACACTACAGAATTTCAGATCTGGTATAAGCAGCAACTCAAGCTTAAGTGTAGACCTCTATAGTTACCGTCATTTAGAAGACATTAAATTTAGACATTTCCAGTTCTGCATAACTCATATTTTAGAAATAGGTAAGAAAGCATTTTAGCATCAATCTTATTATGTAGCATATATCTTACAACCATGTATATGAATGTCAAAGACTGCTAGGGCTAATTAATATTCACTCTGCTCCTCCTTCTGAAGAATAAAGAAGAATCCGCCTTGCATCTTCTCTTGCAGTCAGAGGAGGGCATCTGAGCTCTGGTCAAGGAAATGGGAGTGAAAATGAGGTAGGCCACACTTGCCCACACCGAGGCAGAAGCACTGTGTCTTCCCCACAAGTCTACATTCTACGTGACTTAGGTCCAGTAGGCAAGACTCCAGTAGGACCACAATGAACCACTAGTCAGAAAGAACATGTGTCCCTAAGCCTTTTCAACACCGAAATAAAAGTTTCAGTAGCAAAACCAATTTTTCCTATGTATAGTTAACTGAATTTTGGGTGTCCTGAAGAATGATAGCATCAAATACTAAATTCTATAACAAAACTATTGTTCATGTGATTTAAAACCAAACCATTAGTGCCTTATTACAACAGAAGAATGTCATACTCAGAATGATTACTGAAGAGTGTCGCTAAACTTTAAAAATGGGAAAATCAGAAGAGTGACTAAATTACACCATCATTAAGCGTTAAGGGGGAGAACACACAAAATGTGTGTGTGTCTATTATATCCTTACTTGAGTATGAATAAAGTGCCTCTGGAAAAGCACATTATTGACAACTTGTGAAAAGTAAATACCTGGCTAGAATGGGCAGAGGGTACTTAGCAGAAACACCAATGCTTCACTTTAATGAAAATATTGAGGGCTTAGAAACTGGCTCAGTGGGCAAAATGCTTAATGCACAAGCATCACCAACTGACAACAGACCCTCAACACTACATAAGTGAAAAGGCTGAGTGCATCAGTGACTGACTCCAACACTGTGGGAACAGACAGGAGCAGCCCTGAAGCTATCCGGAGAGCTTGTCTAGATGAATGAATGAGCTCCAGATTCAGTAAGAGACACTGTTTCAAAAGTCACGTTGTAAGGCAATTGAGGACGACAAGCAGTGCTGACCTCTGGTCTCTATAAGCACGGCACACACTTATGCACACATGTAAACACACAGGAACACACACACAAAAGTAAATGTGGTTCTATCTTCTAACACTGAAAATCAACTATTGCAAACTTGACAACCAATATAACTAAGATCTTCCAATACACAAGGGCAATATGAGGTTTAAGCAACCAACAAGAACATTTGATGACTTGACCTTTTGCTATTCCTTCCTGGTCATTTCCCTCAATACTTCTACTGTGTCCATACCTAAATATCACTCTGCTGGTCACACTATAAACAAAAACATGGTTGCATAAATTTTTTCAATTCTTTTATTACTACTAGTTGATAATCTCCACAATGTATTAATGAAATTATTTTTGAAGAGAAAAATTAAAGGCCAGATCATGGAAAAAGGCTAGTGACCATGAAAAAGTATTTTCTCAGAAAACCAGCAAACCTTCTACATTGTAAGAGCGACACAGCAAAAATCTTTACAAAGCCAGGTCATATCACTATTGTTCTCAGAGTGACCACCATTAATGGAAAAAAAGGTTAATCAATAAAAACAAATTTTTCTATAAACCAACATTAATTAATGAAGTCATCTTTATAAATAAAAACAAGACATCCCCAAATGCATATAAATTAAGATAAGTTACTTGCTATATAAATCAAAGTGCTATTTGGAAAATGCAGAATTCAGGTATTTTAACATGATACATGAAAATATGATAAAATAACCATACAAGTTTGTACCTCAGAGATAAAGTGTCAAAATAAAGTTTACTATGGTCTCCAAATTGCTTTGACTTCCATTTAAAGCTCCAGAAATAAAATTTTAAATCATTTTTATAGACTTTTCTGCTAGTTTCTGTTTTAATAATAATGCTAGAGACTATTCTCATGGCTGGCTGTAATAAAACACCTCCTCAAGGTGAAAGTTAATTAACATGTACAGAAAATAGTATGAAACATTAAAAATACACTTCATGTAGCACAGTTAGCTTAGTCATTAAATCTAAACTTGTTTGTATTACCCATTAGAACAAATTTACATTCAAAATTCAAACTTAAACTTGCAAATTGACTGAGTAAGTTCATTACTGTCACATACTATCACTGACTGTGATTATATAATACCCAATGAAAACCCTCCAAAAACCAATACATATAGCAGTATCAAAAAGTATAATGCAGTATTTGACTTTTGAATCTGCAGTAGCCTTAAACCCATGAAAAAAGTTTTCCTATTTTAACTACTGCCAATGTTGATTTTACTAATTCAAATCCTGATAGCACACAGTAAATTTCCCATTGAGAATATTCTGCAAAATCACTATATATTTCTTAATGAATTAAAAAATTTTTCATTACCTCAAATATCTGTGCAAACTGGGTCTCTTTACTAGAAAATATGGCATGAATGCAATGGATGGCATATTTGGCCTGACGAGGTGGTCCTTTTTTGGATTTGTGATGCAATACAGGAAGTAAGGCTCTAAAACAACAGGAAATAAAAACAATACATTAAAAAGGTAATTTTATGTTTATACCCACAGATTAATACCATCTCAACCAAGGTCAGAGAAGCTTCTATGTGAGGAGGGAACAGTTAACACAGAAATTCATAATTTGTCAAGTCATTGTTGAGTGTTCAGTCTTGAAGGGGACATCTAGATCACCTTCTCCAAAACTCAGTGAACAGAAGGAAGCAAAAGGGATAGGAGAAGTCTGTCAAATACTGTCTTCAAGACATGACATGACTGTTGCATCCATGAAGCCACATCAGGGGTGGGTACCTGCATGAGACGAGCCCATCAGCCAGACAGTAGAGGTGCATGCCTTTAATCCCAGCACTCAAGAGACAGAGGCAAGCTGTCTTGGAACTCACTCTGTAGACCAGACTGGCCTCGAACTAACAGAGATCCACCTGCCTCTGCCTCCTGAGTGCTGGGATTAAAGGTGTGTGTGCCACTGCCCTGCCCCTCTGTATTTATTTTACTATACTTTAATTTATATCTTACTTCATATTTTAAAAAGCTGTTTTTGACTTTGTATTTCCCCCTTTTTACATTTACCCACATATCACCCATTGTTGGTAATGTCTTCTCCTTTTTTTAACCTGTATCCCCCCCCCCACTACACACACTGTATTTTTAGTACTATTTGGATTTATCTTATTACTCTTAAAAATAAAATTTTAGATTGCTTTTACTTTCTACTACCTTTCTTCTGTTTATCATGTATCACAGTTTTGACTATTGAACAATCTTCTTTCCTTTTCTTCTGTTTATTAATCTCTTGTTCCTTCCTCTTTACCTTCATAACATTACTTTTCTTCCTTTTTTAATTGAAAATTTTTATACAATATATTTTGATATCGTTCCCAGATAATTTTATGTTTTTCTCTTTCTCTTTAAACAACAAGCAATATACACATAAATGGAAACCAAAATACATAAGCAAAAGATCAATAAGACAAAAATGCCCAAATGAAGCAAAACAAGAAATAAAGTCCTTAAAAATACCAATGAATCCATTTTGTCTTGGTCAACTTCTCTGAGGCATGGGGCTTATAGTAATGTGCTGTTAATATTCCCAGTGAGACTACACTGGAGGAAAATAATTCTTCCTTTGCCACCAGGTATCAACTGGAGATAGCTTCTTATTAGTGGGGGCCCATGTCCACTTCCCCATCTCTGTGTTGGGACTCCATCCGGCTTGAACCTGTAGAGGCAGGGTCGCCCTAGGTTGCCCTTAGCCTTGGCTGTCCTGGAAATTGCTAGGGTAGATCAGGCTAACCTTAAACTCACAGAGATCTGCCTGTTTCTACCTCCCATGTGCCACCATGACTGGCTTCTTTTTTTTAGTTAATTCTACTTCTGCTCTACTTGCCCTGCCTCCCCCATGGCCCCACCCCGCCTTTTCCTGGCTCCTTTCTTAACCCATTCAATTGCTAATCTACATTTGGTTAAATGATTTAACCCGTTGCACATTTTATGCCTTTTGTGTCATTTTCAGTTTTACATCACTGATGTATTAGTGGCATTTAGTTATTTTAAATCTTTTTTTATCTTTAGTTTGGTGTAGTTGTATAATAGCAGTTTGCTCTGTCCTCTCTGGGTAGTGTTAGGGAGTAAGGCTACTCACTAAGTAGATCCCCAGGTTACAAGACAGCCAAAACAACAGATATGACAATCATAACTCAGAAACACAGGAAACACAAAGAAAGCCAATCAGAGTCCTCAAAAAGATCAAGGATACTAAGATGGGTAAATACTGGATGAAGAATTCAAAAGTTTATTTGTATTAATGACTTCAAAGAGGATATAAGCCAGTGAATGAAGTTAGGAAATCAGCAGCAGGAGCAAGGAAAAGCAAACCAGCAGCACAGGAGAGAAAGAAAGCCAGCAAAATGGGTATGGGTAAGAAAGCCAGAAATACGGAAGAGGCAATCAAAACAGAATCTGGAATTCTGGGTGGGAGGAAGAGGTTTAGAAATGTAATGAAAAGTTCAGGAATCAAAATAAAAAAACACAACAGAAAACATCACCACTAGACTAGACCATGAAGATCTAAGACTGTGAAAAGACCAGGAAAACACTTTCAGACACTGAAAGGAAAACAGGTAAATAAATGATCCTGACGACAACTTCCAACAACACTCAGATATGATCAAGATGCCAAACTTAGGGATCCATGCAGAAGCCAGTAAAAAGTAAAGTCACGGAGAGTCTATTCAATAAAATTGTAGACTATTTCCCAAACCTAACAAAAGGGACACCCAAGCACAAAAGGGATTTAAAACCCTAAATAGACATGACCACAGAACCTCTTCCAAACACATCACAGTCAAGACACAGAAAGGGTAAAATAAAGATAATACATTTAAAGCCTTAGGAGGAAAGCAGCAACCCACAAATAAAAACAAATAGAATTCTATCAGACTACCCCACAAAATCCCTGATAGCCAGGGCAGCAGATTCATGTATTTTATGCCAACCAGATTCCTAGATCCAACAAAGGTAACTTTCAAAATTGATCAGGAGATAGGGAGAGTCCAAAACATGGACAAACTAAAGCCACACCTTAGCACTAACCCAGCTATAGTATAGCTATTTTCACAGAATTGAACCCTTTCCTCCTGGAAGAAGCAGGAGGCTATGATTAGGAAACTTACAGAAAGTCAAGAACCTGATGAAACCTACAGGGCTGGGTTAAGATCAGAAGATTTGTACTACTGAGAACCCTCCACAGGGTTGCAAAAGCAGGGTGATAACACATGCAAACCTCTCTCAATAACCAATTGCAAATATTGTTAACTCTGCAATTAAAAGACATACAGTAGCTGCATGAATAATAAACAAGATCCAGCTTTCTGCTGTAGCCAGGAAACATTTCAATGGCATACATTCACAGACTCAAGAGTGAATGGAAGCAAATCAGGCTGGCATCACTAGAAAAGTAATGAAGCAAACTTGAAGCCAAACTTAGTTATACAAGAAAGGTTTTACAAACACACACTGCCTCCTGAATTTTGATGAAGGTAACAAAAGCATACATTGGGAAGGATCAGCTCTTCAATTGGTACAGGAAAACTGGATCTCTTCAGCATGCAGAAAAATCTTATCTGAATAAAAGTGGATTAAACACTTTAACGTAAGATTCTGAAAAGTCTAGAGGGAAGCTTCAGGATACAGGCTTAGGACAGGACTATTAATAGCTCAGGAAGGAAATAATTCCAAGAATCAAGAAATGGAATTGCATGAAATTCAAAACCTAACGTACAGCAAAGGAAACACTGACAATAGTATACAGAATGGAGGAAAAAAAAAATTACCAACTAGGCATCTGATAGGAAATTAGGATCTAGAATTTATAAAGTATCCCAAAACTTAAAGTACCAAACAAACAAAAAGTGAATCACAGATGGCCAGTTAATTTAATAGACATTAACCAAAATAAGATCAGGAAAAAAAACCAAAAAACAAAAATTATTGGAAAAGTGCCCAACCCCCTTAGCCATCAGATAAATGCATAGTAGAATTACAACGTGTGGTGGTCTGAAAGAAAATGGGCTCCAAAAGGGAGTGGCACTATTTGGAGGTGTGGCCTTGTTGAAGTAGATGTGGTCTTGTTGGAAGAAGTATGTCACTGTGGAGGCAGGCTTTGAAGTCCCATATATACCTAAGTCAGGTCCAGTGAGAAGGACCACTTCCTGTTGCCTGTGAATCAAGATGCAGGACTCTCAGCTGCCTCTCCAGCACCATGTCTGCCGGCATGCCTGCATGCCACCATGTTGCACCATGATGATAATGGACTAAACCTCTGAAAATGTATGCCGCCCGATTAAATGTATTTTCTTTTGTAAGAGTTGCTGTGGTCATGGTGTCTGTTCACAGAAATAGAAACCCTGACTAAGACACAGAGATTCTGTCTCATTAAGAAACAACAAATACTATCAAGGACATCTGAGAAATGGAACCTTATACATGGCTGATGGAATGTGAGTTGGAAGGGCTGCTATGGGAATCAGTAAGCAGTTTTCTCAAAAAACTAAAAATAGAACTACCAAGTGATCCTGATGTACTTCTCTTGGGTATATACCAGAAGAGTATTAAGTATGTCATAGAAGCATCTGTAAATTCATGTTACTGCTATACCACTCACAATATCCAAAATGTCCAACAAGAGTTCAGTGGATAGAAAAAAACAAAACAAAACAAAACAGATTTTATGTAATGGAATGGGCAGATATAAGTGAGGTAAAAGGAGATACATGCATAAACATATACACGTGTGTGTTTGAATGTGTGTGTATGTAATGAGACCCATTATCTTGCATGCTAACTAAAAATCAGTAAGAAAGAGATATAAGAAGAAAATAGAAACTATGCCCAAAGGGATATAGTTCCATGGATAATGGACTCAAGCCCAAATTCAAGTCACAGATTTGCCACTTGCTAGCTATGACCTAGAACAATTTGCCTGTCTAAGTGTTAGATTCCTCACTTAGATGAGTAACCACATTCTGTTGAATAGCAGGCAGTTTAACAGAGACAGCCTATCAGATGAAGATACAATACATAGTATATAGTTACACACAGTCCATGGGTAAAGTCACACTGCTCTCTGATCTGATTTGTATAGGAAGAGCATCATCCCATAGAGATGCATACATCATGAACTCATTTAAAAGTTAATAAGACAGGGACTGGAGAGATGGCTCAGAGGTTAAGAGCACTGGCTGCTCTTCTAGAGGTCCTGAGTTCAATTCCCAGCAACCACATGATGGCTCGCAACCATCCATAATGAAATCTGGTGCCCTCTTCTGGTCTGAAGGGATACACACATGTATATATAACTAAAAAATAAACAAACAGATCTTTAAAAAAAAAAAAAGTTAGTAAGACAGATCCAAACATTACCAAAAAGACTACTATTATAAAATTCTGGTAGGATTTTTTGGTTTATAGATTTTATGTGTACGGCTAATCTGCATGTTTGTCTAACACCATGGAAAGGGTATTAGACTCTGCAGAATTGGAGTTACAGATGGTGTGAGCCAGTATGTGGGTGCTTGGAACCAAAGTCAGGTCCTCTACAAGAACAGCCAATGCTCTTAACCATTAAGCCATCATCTCTCCAGGCCCCGATTCTGGTAGGTTTGAATTACCATTGAAATAATAGCTTGGTCTTATTTACTAATGAGTTCTTCATTTCACTCCAGTTCATATAACCAGAACAGAAGAGCAAAAGTTACACCTCCCTCTAAAAGCTTAATGTGGACCAAGGAAAAATAGTTCACAGGCAATTCTGAAGAAGCATCTAAACCAGACCACAGATCCCTGGAGGGGTAGTTCTCGGCCAGAAGTGAAACAATCACCTGCAACATCAGGACCACATGTGGATCTCTCCAGAAACTAGGAAGGAAGATGTACAACAAACAAGCAATGACAAAAAGAATGAAGATGTAGTCTGCTGGGAGATTATGGTATCTTGAACATTGCTAGCACTTAGTAGAGATTCTCTATAGCTTATAAATTTCCAATTGTTGGAAATACTAGAGTACTGAAACACTATACTAAAGATGAGTATTCCATGTTTTCCTACTTCCCTGTATTAAGTGCCCTGTCATAAAAGTGATGGAGTACCCTTAATCCGAGAGGACATTGGCTAGCAAGATTATTCAGTGGATAAAAGCACTTTCAGTGCACGAGAGATGATCTGAGTTCATTTCTCATGGAACCCACAAGGAAGAAGAGAACTGACTCTTCTCCGGAGTTGTCCTCTGACCTGCCCATGTGTCAGGTACAAGTGAGCTTGCAAGGTGTACACACACACACACACACACACACACACACACACATACACACACACTAAATTAACACTTCTGAAATTTCATATTGTGCCTTAGATCCATGTGAACTGTCCATCTTATACTAGCATACAACAGGAACTACTCTATGAAATGGTTTTTAAATTCTTAAGCAACAGCAAAGTGTCACAAAGCTGTACCATGCTTGTCGTCTATCTAACAAAACCTTAAATACCAACCAATGCTTTCTCAGAAGAATCAAGTCTACATTCTAGCATAATTAACATACAGCAATTTTCCTCAAAACTCAATCAAAAGTATATCCAAAGCATTTATCAGGAAAAGCCCAACTCACGATCTGATGTGTGGGAAATCCTCTTCAATTTTGTTCCCTGTGTTTTTGAAAATCTGTAGGGCAGCTTCTGCCACCTTTTCATCATCCATTTTCAGACAAGCCAGAAGGGATTCAAATGTTTCAGCAGAATGAAATGAGATGGGATGTGTAAAAGAGAGTACCTGCAAAGGGTTTATAAACATTATCTGTAAAATCTTTTCATGTTTGTAATATACACTTTTAGAAATAATACCAATCAATAAATAATTCAAGATTAACTGTGCTATATTCCTGTGTGGAATGTCAACACATTCCTAGTCAAAATAATTTGTATTTGGATTGACACTTACTTTCTTCAGGGGAAGGACATGAGGATAAGAGGAAAGGGAACATATAGGAAATATAACAAAACATCACTCATTTTTCTAAATAATCATTAGAAGAGACTAGGTAAAGATGTTTTTTTTTTTCCTAAAGTAAATTAGGAAATGTATACTTATCAGGTCAGAAGGAACACTGTCAAATCAAATCAACAATGAAAAAGTAGTAAAGAAAATCATCTAACAAAAAGATAAAGCAACCAGATCAAGATTTATAAGAACCTAGACACATATTACAATAGACTTTAAAGAAGGCAACAGCATGTAGCTCAGCTTGGGAGAGTGCATGCCCAGCAGGCACACAGCCCTGAGTTTCATCTCCACACTGCGTAGAACTGAAATTGGTGGTACATGACTATAAACCCATCATCAGGGAGTATATAAAGAGACAGTCAAGGTTATCCTCACTATCTGCAATATAAGGCCAGCCTTGGTTATACAAGACCCTGTCTCAAAACAAAAACAAAAGCTAACAAACAAAAACTGCAATTGAGCTGGGCCTAGTGGTACACACATTTGATCCCAGCACTCAGGAGGCAGGTAGATATCAGAGTTTGAAGCAAGCCAGGTCTACATAGTGAGACCTGTCTCAAAACAAAACAAACAAAAACAGGAAACAGAAAATAATCCTAAGAAAACCACACATCTAGTATGAGAAAATCATATCAAACACTCCATCATAAATTCTTGCAAAATAATAGGTTGTGTTTGAAAACAAACAAAACCCTTTGGATGAGAGAGAGAGAGAGAGAGAGAGAGAGAGAGAGAGAGAGAGAGAGAGGGGGGAGAGAGGAGAGAGGAGAGAGAGAGAGAGAGGAGAGAGAGAGAGAGGGAGAGAGAGAGAGAGAGAGAGAGAGAGAGAGAGAGAGAGAGAGAGAGAGAGAGAGAGAGAGAGAGAGAGAGAGAAGCAGATATTAGGGCTGGAAAGATGGCTCAGTAGTTAAGAGCACTGACTATTCTTCTAGGAGACCTGGGTTCAATTTCCAGGACCCACATGGCAATCACAACTGCCTATGACTCCAGTTCTAGGACTTCTAACACCCTTATAGAGACATACATACAGGCATAGAGAGAGAAAGAATGCTCATTTGTCTGTGAACATGTGGGGTCAGTGGTCACTCTGGGTGTCTTTTACTATCACTCCCAACCTTTGTTTTTGGGGTCTCCCACTGAATCTGGAGCTCAATTTCCACTGGTAGAGTCAGCTAGTGAGTCCCCAGGTCCTGCCTGTCTCTTCCTCACTGAGTTGAAGGTACAGGCACACCAGCCTGGGGATCCACACTCAGGTCTTCCTGTTTACGAGCAAGCACTTCACCCACTGAGCCATCTTCTCAGCCCCATTATAGGATTACAAGTGTAGATTAATGGAATTCAAATACAGAATGCAAAAATACTAAGTAACAAAAGATACTATATAGTGTCATTTTCAAAGATTTATAATCAAAATAATAATGTTATTTACAGCTATATACAAAGATGCAAATAAGAAAGCTAAAAGTTCAAAAGAATAAATAGAAATTTCAGGAAATTATATGATATATTTGATTACAAGGATTTAAAAATAAACACTCAGGAAGCTAATCTAGCATTTTGAATAACCAATAGAATTTGAGTAAACATAATTTATGGTTTCATAAAGCTTTTAAATATAAAATATAGGTACTGGGGGCACGCCTTTCAAGAATATGACTCTTCTACTCTGTCTCTGATTCCTGGTTGCCAGAAGATAAGCAGCTACAGTCTACTCTGTACTCCTATTTTATTTCTGCCCCACCACAATGGGCAGAAACAATGAAGACAAGTGACCACGGAGTGAAATCTATGAGCCTAATAAGTCCTTCATCCTTTCATTTGGTTTGCTGAGGTATTTTGTCACAGTGATGAAAGGCTGGCTGAAGCAGAAAACGGGTATTGAAAAGTGGCACCGTTACTACGACCACATCTGATCAGGTAGTTCAGAAAGTGTTGAAGCTGGTTTATGGGAGGAATAGGAAAAGCTTAGGAAAGCTGGCTAAAGAAAGGCTAAAATGCCTTAGCTGGAATGTACTGAGAGATTCCAGTGGGAGTGTAAAAGCAGATGCTGACAGTAACAGAAAGGACTCTAGGTTTAACCAAGGGTTCTACTGGGAACTGGTGGGGGGGAGACAGGCAGCCATGTTAGTCCAGCAACTCATTTGTTTAGTTGGTGCCCTGAGAATGAGTGTGAGACTATATTTAAAAGAATGGTAGGGAATTGGTAGGGAAAATGCAGAGATAATTTGGTATTTAGAATATAGCATACAGATTACTGGCTGCTTCTAGTCAATTTCACCGCAAGAAGAAGGAACAAAAAGATAAAACAAAGTATGTAAAAAAAAAAAAAAAAAATTGCAGTTTACCTATAAGGAAAGGTGTGTTGAAGAAAGTGTGGTTACTGAAGAGATGGCAAAAAGAAGCCAAATATGTTGCATTAGAACAATAGGAAAGATGCCTTGAGGGATAACCAGATCCCCAACATAGACTCAAGAATATGAGAGTGTAAAATCATCTGAAAGGCTTTAGCAAGAGAGTTCTAACATGTCCTGCTCATATAAGTAGTAGTTTGCCCAGAAATTACTTCCCAGCAAAATGCTGCTGCCACAATTGAAAATGCCCAGCTTCTGCTTGATCTGGTGGCAAACTCTGTCATCTCCCATGTAATGCTAGCCTTTCAGACATGCAAAAATGCAACTGCTGTAAGGTCATGGAGATTTCCATGCAGATGTCAAAGCAGTATCAGATTTCCTATTGACAGTCCCTGAAAGTGAATCCAGAGCTGCTGTATTGAAGACCCTAGGATGTCAGAAATGCCAGATCACAAAATGTCTGCTGAGAAAATTCTAGGCAATGTACAGAACCAGCCCATAAGAATAATTACAGGTCCTACAGGGCAGTGGTGGTGCATGCCTTTAATCCCAGCATTTGGGAGGCAGAAGCAGGCAGATCTCTATGAGTTCAAGGCCAGCCTGGTCTACAGAGCCAGTTCCAGGTCTGGCCCCAAAGCTATAGAGAAACCCTGTATAGAAGCCACGGTGGGAATAATACAGTTTAAATCTAAAAGTACCTCCCAAAGGCTCCTGCATTAGGAGTTTAATAACAAGATGATTGGCACATGAAAACTAATTGGACCATGGGGATTCTGATTTCCCCAATGGACTAATTCCCTGATGAATTCACAGATAAGGTGATTTGGAAGGGTATATACCTTACTTATCCCCACACCCTTCTTTTCTGAGTTTCTCAACTGCTATAAGGTGCCCCCTGCTGCCACGATAATCTTGCCTTACCACAGGTGAAGAGACAAAGGAAACCAGTGACTCTGGACAAAGGGCTGAGAAGTCAGGAGCCAGGAAAAGTCCTTCCCTCAATTTACCTTCTTAGATAATCTGTCAAAGTGATAAAACTGACCAAATAACATTCTACTTACTTTTCATGAGTATTAATTGTAATACTAGTCTATAACCTAATTATAATAATTTTTATTCATCAAATAGTTTCCATAAGAAAGCAAAGTAAGTTAGAAGTTCATTCAAATCAAATGTTTAAAGATTAAGGCATCAGTAGATACATAAAGGATGGTGAGTGAATGGGAAACAGAACTTGTTAATGTACAAAGGTAGATCACTAGTAACAATGCAGAAATTACAATACTGCCTGTGCCTAGCAGATTAGCACATTTTCTAAAATAGCAGCATCACATGGTTGTGAACATTAAGAGAGTGGTACTTTCACACACTATAGATGGCATATAGGAACTATTTCTCTGCAAAATAAAATGGAAAATGTATTATATACAATTTCTGTGTAAGACAACATAAAAATTTATACACAAAAAAATTGTGTCTAGAAAAATTTTAATTGTATATATTTCCAAGAATTTCGAAGATCTTGTTCTCCTGGAGCTAGTTATGACTTTCAGTCTTTTAAAAAAAAAAAAAAAAAAAAGACATTACACAATAAGAACAAAGCAAAGTTATGATACACTGGAGTAGTCACCATTTCACATTCATTATTTTTGCTAGGAGCCAGTATGCAGTAAAAGATAACGTGTGATATGATGTAGCTCTCTGTATGTTACATGGGAAGAAGCGCTCACAGGCCAGTAATACCCAACCAAGATGCTTAAAAATGTTATTACTAGGCGGGAGTTGGTGGCTCATGCCTTTAGTCCCAGCACTCGGAAGGCATAGGAGATCTCTGTGAGTTCAAGGCCAGCCTGGTCTACCGAACTAGTCCCAGAACAGCCTCCAAAGCAATACAGAGAAACCCTGTCTTGAAAAACCAAAACCAGAAATTAAAAAAGAGAAAAAACCCCACAAAACCCAAATTTTGTTATTGCTCTGCGTGGTGGCACATGCCTATAGCTGCCCAGCACTGGAGAGGTAGAGGCAGAAGATCTTTTTATTTAGTAAAGATGCAGTTTTATTTAGCTTAAAACCATGTTGATTTCTGTTTTTTTTTTTTTTTTTTTTTTTTTTTTTTTTTTTTTTTTTCATTTAAAAGTAAGCATTTTTCAGTGGTATCTTTTTTTTTTTTTTCCCTTTAATTTCTTATGAGACAGGGTTTCTCTGTGTAGTCTTGGCTGTCCAGGACTCTCACTTTGTAGACCAGGCTGGCCTCGAGCTCACACAGAGATCCGCCTGCCTCTGCCTCCTGATTGCTGGGATTAAAGGTATACGCCACCACTGCCTGGTTCAAGAAATCTTTCTAAATAGGCTGTAAAACTTGGAGAAGCAAATTTTTAGAACAAGCAATATAAACTCCCAATTTTGGAACCTGGAAAGGAACTTAAACAGATCCCTATGTTTACACTACAAGTTCTCAACGAGTCAGACACACACAGTGAAACCCTGCCTTTAAACTCTCTCTCTCTCCCTCTCTCTCTCTCTCTCTCTCACACACACACACACACCAAAAAAACAAAACAACAACAAAAAACCCAGTTGTCTAATTAGAAACAAGTTTAGACAAGTATTTACCTTCAACAGCTCAAGGCCTGCCCTGATAGCTTGATCCGTTGGAACACCCTCATCTTCATCATCGGCAGTCCCATCTATTGACTTATTCACTTGCTTTATAAGAGCACTGAAGTATGACAAGAAAACGAAAGGGTTATTTCTTTCAACTGGAATACGTGAGCAGTATCTAAGAAAAGTCCCTAAAAATATTAAATAACTACACAGTACATATTTTATATGGTTATTAACCAAACATTATTATAAAACAAATTACAGAAAAATCTTTTCAAAATCAGTTCTTTTCCTTCACCCATGCAAATGAAACCTTTTTGAATGTCACCTGTACCTTTATTAGTGTCTTTTCCAGAGAAGGCCTAGTATCAGACAAATGATTTTTGTCTAAACGACAATCAAAGGGCAGCATTAAGCACTCTAAAACTGCAACATGGATTTGTGTCAGACAAAGATCCAAGAGTCAGAAAGCACAGACCTGCTGCTAAACCTGCATCAGAGGCCAAAAAAACCTTGGAAAAGAGAACACCTGGCAAAGCACAGCAGTGTTTTCCAACTTTAGAGATAGCCTGATCTTATTCTAAGTAAATTTCAGTGATTCATTGACAATGATTTAAAGCAATCATTCACACCACAAATCAAGTAATAAAGTAACAGTGTGAACATAAAAAATATCAAAATAAAATTTATGCAATGGTTCTTGAAATATTAAGTAGAGCCACTTCTTTAAAAAAATATTTTATGCTCAAATTTAGTATCAAACAAAGAATGAAGTATATCTGTCTAACAAGAGTTTAAAATTTTCTTTTTCTTACTTACGAAGTCTATTTCTAGTTAACAAGATAGCTCAGGGTTTATGGGCCCTTGCCACCTAGCCTGATGACCTGAATTTAATTTACAAGACACACACAGTAGGAAAGACCTGAGACCTTGCAAGTTATTCTGACTTGGGTCTTTGTATATGTACTATTATATGTATGTATGTACAATATATATATATACATATATATGTATATATATGCATGTATGTGTGTGTGTGCAGTAAAAAACATTTCTGTCAAGTGTTTCCATTTATGTATTTTCCTAAGTAAGTTTTCCTTGTTTTGATAAAATTAGTTTTCCTTATTCTCATATCTCCAATTGCTCAAATGAATATCTCCAACCTAAGTCTTATTTCTAACAGTACCAAGATTCTTCTGTACAGTAGAAACATTAAAAAATTTTAACTTTTAGTTTCTTCTATAACAATGGGTAGGAAGGTCACAAGTATATGAGCACACACATTAACAGCATCAGCCCACAGGACTGCAAAGAAAGTCATGAAGGAAAATGAAGTTCCTTCTTTGGGCTGCTAAGAATGGGGGCTGTGAAGAAGATAGAAAGCAGCAGCAGAACTAGATCTAATCACACACACAGCCTGGGGGAGGCATCGGCCAGAAAAATGACAAACTGGAAAAACTATTTTAAAGGCTACTTAAGTATTCAGTGAGGAACAAATGACAAGAACAACATCATATATAATGAGACACACTCAGTATGTTAGTCTAAGAAATTAACAAGAGAAGTCAGCAAGGAGATATAACCAAAGCTCTCAGAACAACAATAATATTCTCTATCAGCAAAAGTCAGCTAAAAAGCACAAAGGGGGAAATGTATTCACATTGAGAAGTCAAAATACATAAATAATTAGGAATACAAGTTGCAAACAGAATCCTCATGTCCTCAGGAAAGGGAAGTCTGACCCATGTATACTCCTGACCATCTGGAAGACCAATGTATGCCTATTGCCAAACATGTGGCGAAGAGGAGATAAAGGCTTCCTCTTTAAGACAAATCTGCTAAAAAAAAAAATAAATAAATAAACCTCAGGAAAATCAACATGCAAAACATACAAGAATTTGTTCAACAATGAATAGACACGACAAATCAAATGTGATTCAATCAATTTTAAAAATAATGAATAAGCTAATACAACCAGCTAACATGTACAATAAAAACAGTAAATCTTGATGCACATATTACACTACACTCCAGACCAATTACAGATGAAAATGTAGACAGTAAAACTACTTAATGTACCAAAGTCAAAAAAAAGAAAAACTAAAAACAAAATCCAAATACAATTGTGTAATTTACTATTTATTAATATATTTAGAAGAAAACACTGGGATCTTAGCCTTATCATTCTTGTAATCAGTTAACAAAAAACAAAATTCCCTAAAGAAATGGAATTAGCTAAGTAATGTTGGGGGAAATTTTTGTTCCTTATTTGCAAATGTTCAGCAGTAATAATAAAAGGAAACTTAAAGATGCTACCTTCCATTCCAAGACTGAAAGGACACCTTCCGCATCTCTCTGGTGACTCTGCAGCCACTTAATGAATCTAATTTGACACCTAAGCCACTGTTCATACTTGGAGGCAGTTCCCATTCTATAAAGTCACCAATGCTTAGAATTCACCCACATATATTATAAGCAGAAACTGCTACTTCTTGCTGCTATTTATGCCTTAACACCCTTCTGAAGGAAGGAAGTTCCTGATTGCTGAAACCAAGGGGCTGCTCTTTTGGTCCTCGGTCTGTCAACTAATACACAGCATATACCTTACTTGTGAAAAGTTTCACCATTTTTTAAGCTTTAGAATTCTGAAACAACTTGGTCTTCTCAATCTCTGATTTCCCTACTGTAAACAGGTTTCTGGATCTGTCCATAGTATTTTCCATTTTCTACTTAACCTCAGCATACCACTCAATTCTCGTAATTTCATTTTAAACTCAATGTTACTTGATTACAGAAAAAAATGTAGCCAGGTGTGGTGTCTTATTCCAGTGATCTCAGCACTTGGAAGGTAAAAACAGGAGGATTAGAAGTTCAAGGTCACCCTCAGCTATAAGGTGAATTCAAAAACAACTTGAGCCACCTGAGTACCTATTTAAATAAAGATAAAGACAGACAGAAACAAAAAGGGGAGGAAGGAAAGGAAGGGAAAAAGTAATTTCTTGCCATGTCAAAATAATAATTTTATGTTGTCTCTCATCTAATTCAAAAAAAGAAAACAAGCCCTTTTTATCCCCTTCAAGGTATGAGGATTCATTATTTGCACTTGAACCCCTGTATCCTGACTCCTTATCTCATGTGTTGTCAGGTAGCAGTAACTTAGGAATGCTCTTTTCAAACCTTCCTCAAACATGTTTTCTTTCTCACCATACTAGCATCTATGCAGAGACTACCACAACAAAGCCTCAAGGAAGCACTCTTCTTTCCCCTCCACTCACCACCTCAAAGACTAAAAGAGTAACAAGAGCCCCAAAGTTCAGTGTTAACAGCATCCATAGCTGATCCTGGGCACACAGCACTCAAGCCTCTCTAGTCTATAATATAGCTAACAGACAGAAGTTACTGTCAAACACCCGTTTCCCTATCTAGTTAATTTGGCTTATGATAATCTTAAAGCCTATAATATAATACTCTTTCTCCCATATCTGAAAAAGCACAATCTCACCTAGGATCTCTTCGTAGATAAAATACTGCCTCCCACAGATAGCCTTTTGAGCTCTCTGAAGTAAAGTAATAAAGTGAAAGCAAAATGAGAAGCGAGAAAAGCTACCCATCTGAACATGAATGGACACAAGCTGTATTCACAAATATAGTGCATAGATGACTGCACATTCAAATACTGATAAGCAGATACTTTGGTGACTGTGAGTGACCAATTAAATGCATGACTGAGAAACCGTGATGTTCATAAGGACAAATACCTGATGGACTCGGTATCTATGTGTACTGGCGCTATCCTCTCCAAGAGAAATTTGATCATCTCCAAGAAAGGATTTGTAGGCTGTTTAGGGTTCCCCAACTTTTTAGTTATTTCACGCTGAAAAGAAGATTTGTAAATTATTATAAGAATACATTTAAACATAGCAGAACTTGAAAATGTTAAGAACCTATGACATTCTGTAGTACTGGTATTAAAAAACACAAATCTAGAGGAGCTAAGTAACAAGAACTAGAATTAAGAACTGAGTATATCCTAAATAAGTAAGATGTACATTATTATTAGTAGTCTAAGCAAAGATGTACATTATCCTAAGCAAATAATATGTGCATTATTGACATTCCATGCAAATAAGATATACATTATCCAATATAACAAAGAAAAAAACTGAACAGATATTTTGAGTAAAAACAAGGTTAGGTACCTATTTCATGTCACACATCAAAAATAGTTCAAAAAAATAAAAATTTAGGAATAAAACCAGAGGTACAGAGACAAACCAGCAAGCAAACAAATTAACAAAGAGAATTAGAAACTAAATTCCTAGATATCATTCTGAAGGTTCTAATTTGGCCTACCTGGGAAAAAGCCAAAAATCATCCTTTTCTAAAATGCATCTCAAGATATGAGTTAAAAAAACATGAATAAATATGCCTAACTTGTATTACTGTCTTTTCCTGCTATTATGATAAAATACTCTGACGAAAACGACTGAAGGGAAAGACAACTGATTTTGGCTAACAGCTGAGCTTGAAGGAGCCGATCACACCACACCCACAGTCATGAACAGAGCAATGAATGCAGGCATGCTAGTGCTCAGCTTTCTCCATCTTTCAGGGTGCCCTGCCATGAATGATGCCACCCACAAATGGGTACATCTTCCTACCTCAAATAATCAAGATAATCCCTCACATTCATGTCCAGAGACCATATTATGGGCCAATCACTAACCATTGTAATGTACAATAGAATGGAATTTCATGATCAAGACACCAAAACCAAAGCTCAAGAGGCATATATTTTATTCACAGCTAGACAAAAGTAGAAATCATGATATAAAAGGCCATCTGGAACAAAAGGAAAGGGCAAAATATAGCTGACAAAAATTATTTGCAACTTAACAATGACATATTACAAACTAAAAATTGCAAGATTAAAAAAAAACACTATAAAAATGGGTAAAGATTATAAACATTCAACTCACAAAAGAAATATAAATGGTTAAAACAAATTTGAAGGAGAAAAGTGGTCAAAAACTAAGCAACTAAAAAACACAATTCCTACCAAATAACTTTTTTTTTTTTTTAACTTGGATTTGGTTTCCAACAATGAGCAGACAGCATTAAAAATGGACCTTTAAACCTATGTGACTAGACATCTAAGAATATGTAGGAATCAAGATGTGTAAAGATACTCAGCTATGAAAGTGTAGGATAGCAGAGCAAGGGGCACAGTGTGAAACTACAGTATCTTAGGAAACTGAGGCAGGAGTGTATGCTCCAGCCTCGTCTGAGCAGCAAGACCCCACACCAAAAGGAAGAAGAGAGAAAGGAAGGGTAAAAAGCCCCCTGAATGATAGTATTCAGTAAGTTATAGTGCACATATGAATGGCATGCTATGAGCTATGATTAATACTATAAGAAATGATGAACAGTGGTGTTGTACACCTTTAACCCCAGCACTTGGGAGGCAGAAGCAGGCAGATCTCTGTTTGAGGCCACACTGGTCTACATATCAAGTTCCAGGATAGCCAAGGCTGTGACAAAGAGAAATCCTATCTCAAAGAAAGGAAAGGAAAAAAGCCAAACTGTCCCCTCCAAAAAGAAAATCCTACTAAAAAATGAAATGTGTAAAATCCATATATAACATGATTTCATTTTGAAAGGATACATATCAAAGTATTAATGACAACTCTCTCTGCAGAAGGACTATAACTGACCTGAGTTGTTACTTAACATTTTCTAAACTGAAATAAACATAAATTTCACTTGTAAAATGAGGCAGATATACTAAGAGACTTTGGTCTGTGTTCCCACACAGGCTATCCCTGTTACCCCCTTACCACACAGCCTTCAGCCTGCTTGCAGGAGCATGTGGGGCTAACAAGGATTTCCAGCTGTTTCCGTATTTTCTCATCATCTTCCAACACTTGTGTAAATTTCTTCATGAAATCCTGTGCCTTACCAGGATCTGGCAAATTTCCTTAAAATAAAATAAAGTTTCATAATTTCTCCAACTATTTCTTTTTAAAATGTACTTTCTATTTTGTAAATCTAATATTTATCTACAAACTGCCCTTAGTTTTACAATTTGTGAAGTATCATCTATACACAAAATCTGGGAGAGAAATCTGTTTTGGAGAAAATATGAAACAGCATCTGAGCAAAGGTACATCTGCAGGTGAAGATGAGCTCCTTCTGAAGAGTCCCTTACAGCATATGAAGATATCAAATGTCAGCCTAAGTAGAAACATATATTCCTTAAAGTGCTGCTTACACTGTCCTGCAGAAGTCCCCAGGAGGGACAGACAGCTCAGTATGTTGTGTGTCTACCTGTGCACTATTAAAACACTCCCCGATTCTCCATACAGATATGGAGCATGTGGTGGTGACAGACACACTGCTGGGTTAAGTCCTACTGGTGAGAAAGAGCCACTCTCTGGAGAAACCTCCGCACATGTGCCTCGCAGATCCTACAGCTAAGTGCTGGCCTCAACGGGTTTTGTTTTTCCTCGATATTTAGCTGCTTAGAAAAAAAACTAGACTAGGATAACTAATAAAAAGAAATTAGAAATATCTTAAATGACAGTAAATTTATTCTTCAAATTAACAAATAATTCTGAAAATCCTTAAGTGATAACATAAATGGCTAATCACTGACGGTGGTAAAAATACCAAACTGAGCCAGGCGTTGGTGGCACAAGTCTTTAATCCCAGCACTGGGGAGGCAGAGTCAGACGGATCTCTGTGAGTTCCAGGCCAGCCTGGTCTACAGAGCTAGTTCAAGGACAGGCTCTAAAGCAATACAGAGAAACCCTGTCTTGAACCACCCACCCACCCCCCCAAAAAAAGAATACCAAACTGTACTAAACACTTGCTATATGACCTTCTATTATCTCTATATACAAGAAAAAAGCTAGCATAAATAAAGGGAGGCCTGGCTTGATGGCATAAACCTTTAATCCCAGCACTTGGAAGGCAGAGGCAGGTGAATTTCTGAGTTCTGAGTCTGGTTTTCAATGTGACTTCAGGCCAGCCAGGGCTATATGGTAAGACACTATCTCAAAAATAAATAAACAGGATGACCAATAAAAGACAAATATCTGTATAATCATTTTAAAACAGTATAAAGTGTAAGAATACGAGCATTTGGGGACAAGCTTTTAAAAGTTCTAGTGTAGAACTTTATAAATTATATTCCAAAGATTTGTAATTCACCGGAATTTAAAAGTACTGAGGATTTAATAGTGCTATTAAATAATTTTAGAAAATGTCATTTAAGAGCCCCTTTATCACAGATAGGCATTGTATTAAAGGCTATTCTTTAGGGAAATAAAGAATAGTGACAGAGAACGAGAAAAGAGCATTTTATAAGTGCACAGGGAACCCTTTGCTCCCTACCTCGCACTATTAACACCTGCAGGACACTAGCATTCCTGGAAACAGGAACTAGAACAGACTGTAGGGTTTTTTTTTTTTTTTTTTTTGAATAGGAATTGAAAAAACATTGGAAAGACAACAGAGAATGAAGCCATCCAGAGAACAGCACAGACAGCCAGCCGCAAAGGACAAACCCGAAAGCTGGTAAGTTCCAAGAAAGGACTGGCTGAGGCTGCCCCTCTCAGTGGCACCATAGTTCTAAATGCTATCTTCAAAATAGAGTGTAAGTGAGCAACCAAGACACAGTCACTAAGTCACTGCTCTCCTTAGTGTCTGGTATTCGTGCCAATGCAGCTGCAGTATTTAGCTCAGCCCACGGCCTCTTCATTATCTTCAAGTGAAGTGTGGTACACTCGCTCACTACCAGGTGTTCCGGGTTATCTTGTCAGCAAGCTACAGTGGCCACTAAGGTAAGAGGAAAGCAACTAGTGCCAGACACTGACAGCGGAGGAGGAACCAATGCACAGGCTCCAGGTTAACAATGTCATGTAATGGCAATTCTCAAAAATAAGCTTCCTCATGTAAGACACTTAAGAGAATTTAAAATTCTGAACAGCACACAGAATAAATGAAAATGAGAGAGAAAAAGAAAAACTAAAATGTCTGGTGTATATCAAGCAAAAACACTTTAATAATTTCTTAGATTACTACAATCTAACATAATTTAAATTACATAAAATCTTCAATTAACTTTTAAACTATATAAAGATTTAAAACAACTTACTTGTAATAACCATCACTTTAGAAAATATGGCCTTCACACTGGCATCTGTCTGTAAATAACACACAAAAAATGCACAATTAAAATTCCCTAAGAAGAATTCACGGCATCTTCAACAACTCTCCAAACCCACACTAGTTCCCCATGACCGTATCTTTCTTTAGTTATTTTTAAATCCTAGATAAATAGATGTAGTGAAAAGTACAGAAGCCATGTAGACCAGGTTGACCTCAAACTCACATAGCTCCACTGGCCTCTGGCTAAGTTTCTATCAACAGGCAAGAAAGAGCAGCTCCAGAGTGAAAAATCTCAAAAGCCGGCAGGCTTGTTTGCAAATGAATCACTCTACACCTGATCTAAGCGCCTAAGTATTCCCTGGAACCTATTACAGCTTCAATGTCTCCTAAAATCCAGACTACTGCTATCCATCCAGCCCAAGTTACTTGGCAATTTCAGAATCAATCAAGGTCCCTGTCTCAAAACAAAACAAAACTCACAAAAAACAGAAACATAGACAGCACTGAAAAAAAAAAAACAACCCGAGACTGTTCTCAAGCCTATAGACACACAGAGAATACATCACATAATAAAAATCACTAGGATATTCATTCCAAATAAACTTACAAAGCTACAGTTAAAGATTATACAAACTTTCTAAAACTGAACTTACTTTGGGTTGTTTAATTAAATCAAGCAAATCCTTCACTTGATGACGGAGTAAATTTTGACATTTCCACATTTCGTTTAATGCTCTGTAAAATACCAAAAAAAAAAAAAAAAAAACAGGATGAAAGTCCTTTCAGAATATTCCAACTATTTAATTTTAATAAAATAGGGGTAGGGAGATTAAAAAAAAAAAAAAACCAAGACAAGAGAAATGAGGTAAAATTCACAGACTAAATAACCAGCAACCCAGAGGCAAAGACTCAAATGTATAGTAGTAGCAAGGTTATTAGGCAGGAACTTGTGATGCTGCATTTGGCTTTGTATAAAGACATAAAGGAGAGCATATCTGTAAGTTAAGAAGTAGGACTGACAAGACTATAACCCTCAGAAATAAAGGAAGAATTGACAAGAGCACTGTCTTGTAATAGGTGACGGAGGATGGAATCTAAGGGAAGCAGGAGAGTGAGACCTGTGAGAAAATGGGTCTATGTTTGTGACATAATTATCTCATCATATATAAACTTGAAATTACCTATTGTTCTGAATGTCTTTCCAGTAACTACACTGTAAAGAGTTTCAGTACCACATATTTCTAAGGAAATTCTATTTAAAAGTATTGTTCAGCCATTTATGTTGTGGACATTTACATACACAAATATATAATATGCATGTTCATGTGTGCAGGTTGCCAATGTATGTGGAGGTCAGAAGACAACCTCAAGGGTCATTCCTCAGGTACCTTCTGTCTTCTGCTTGAGACAGGGTCTCTCACTGGCCTGTGTCTCCCAAGTGATCTAGGCTAGCTGGCCAGAAACTGCAGGGATCCTAGTACCTCCCATTTCACCACTGCTAGCATCAGGCTTTTCCCATGGCTCCTGGGAACCTCACAACTGAGAAGCCATCAGGCATAACTGGAAGGACAGACACCTAAGCCCGTGGTTTATCCCATTGCCCTAGGCCTCCAATGCCTTCACACAACATGTGTGAAGCACTGACAGCAGTGACAAAATGCAGAATTGCACTCGCAAGCTTTCCCTTGCACAGAAAAGACAATGCGCTGCTCAGTTCCCATTGTCCTCTTTATCAGGGTTTGAAATGCCTCCAGCCCTTTTTTTAAAGAATAAAACCTACTTTCAACTTGGGTACTTGCTAACAGTAAGAGTAGTGGAACATCTTCATCTTTGGACATCTTAAATTTTAAGTAGTAACATTTTATTATTTTTGAGTGTGAAAGTTCCACAGTTTCATTGCATTATTAAGTAATGTAAATTCACTTAACAGGTAACTGTGAAAAATCTAAAACAAAGCATGTATTGCATAAATAAAACAAAAACTTTCAAGAAAACAATCTGAGAAATTACTTCTAAACTCCAAAGACATTTTCTGTATCCTGGAAAAATCATGATTTACAACTTCTAAAAGGTCACATGTTAAAACTTATCTTGAATTCAAACAGATGAAATTATGTAATCTAGTATATTTACCACTGACATATGAAATACTAAGAAATTCTAAAACTATTATAAACTATGACCATAGCTGACATTTAAAAAAAAACCCATTGACTATGAATTTGTATTATAATATATTTAAGAAAATTTTCTTAAGGATTTTAATTGAAATATTAAATAGTAAAACAATTTGCCCGAATTTACTATTGTCTTAATGGGAAGGAGTTTATTGAGTCGAAGTGGGATAACAGAAGGCAATGGGGGTGACAATTAATCCCAGCACTCGGAAGGATGAGGCAGGCAGATCTCTGTGAGTTCCAGGACAGCCAGAGCTACAAAGTAAGACCTTGCTTCAAAACAAAACAAAAAGAGTGAAAAGCTGAAGAGTATATACACCTGTTAAACTTACTTGCATAGTGTGCAAAGGTAAGTGATGTAAGGAAACAGGCATGCATGTGAGTACTCTAACGCTGTTTTTAACAGGCAAAAAAAGACTGCAGTGCATCTCTGAGGAAGAAAGGATAAAATAGTTGGGTAGTACACTCAATGTTAGCTATCACCAGGTTTCATCACCCACATGTATGTGGTCTTTGCTATTATCACACACAAGAAAATGATGAGGCTTTGGAGGCAAACAAAATAAGTATAAATTAAGTTCTAAAAATTAAGGTAATGTAGATGATCACAACACCAATGACAATAAAAGTCACTTTTAAATAATACCTACCTTAAATACTTCACCTTGAACAGTTAAATATCATTCATGAACCATTTTTGTAAAGTTAAAACCCTAACATAATAGTTCAAATAGTTTTTTTTTCAGCTTTTTAGTGACATTATTTCACAGCACCTCTTTTTTATTTTATTTATTTATTTATCTATTTTTAGTTTTTCAGGACTGGGTTTCTCTTGTGCAACAGTCCTGAACCTCACTCTGTAGACCAGGCTGGCCTCAAACTCAGAGATCCATCTGCTTCTGCCTCCCAAGTGCTAGGATTAAAGGCGTGGGCCACCAACGCCCAACACAGCTTTTAAAAATGAGTGCTTTACTTTTAAATTCAATGAAATACACTTAAATTTAAGTAAAAAGCAGTTTCTGTTAAGTGTTATCGCTGCTATTTATAAGGTCTTCTTACGTAAAGGCATTTTCTTCTTTTCATTTCTATTTCTGGCATTAACTTTCTACCAACTGACTTTCATTCCCTCCCTCAATTGAGAAGCTACATGTTCTGAGGGTTTTTTGTTTGTTTGTTTGTTTTGGTAGGGATGATTAACAACTTTTTTATGTATCACCTGACAAATTATCAATTAGCTGACATTTGTCCTTGTGTTTATATGATAAAAAAAAAAACCACTTGAATACTTAAATGTTTATTCTTGCCTATTTCCTTATGTGTTATCTGACGATATTAATTTCCCTCCATAAAGGCATGGCATCAACCAGTCACAACAGTGGGCAGTTAAGAAAGGTCCTGAGGACCTTACTGCTGTGTAGAAGAGAGTTCCAGGACACATGCAAGAATGCACAATTGCAGTGAATGTTTTGGTTAAGTCCCAGCCCACATGTTCCCTACTTTCTCCTTCTAAAGCCACATTTAGATTTACAAAAATATTTGAAACTTTTGTTGCTTCTTGAAGACAATACCTTCCATCTATCCCTGCCTTCCTTTCTCAAAATAAATATATAGACAGACTCATATTCCAGTTCTTTCACATAGGATCTGAGTGCTACTTCTAGATTCTTACTTAAAAGGATCTTTATTAATTTACTCTTAAGTGATAATTGGTCAAGGCCAGAGTTACTGGGATTTGTAATTAACATGTGCTCTAAGAAGACACATACCAATCATACTTCATATACTCTAAAAGTCCATCAATTGCACCAAAGGAAAAGGATGAGCAACTAAAATAACATAAACCAACAATTTGAGAATGTATTCCAAATTGAGAACAATTTCAAACAGAGTAAAATAAAATGTGTTGCTACTTGTAGTTAAGATTTAAGTGCAGTAACCAAAGAGCACTGACTTCAGATCCTGGCTATCAAATCCTGGCTTCCTGACTGTCAAATTAAGCTCTGTATGGCTGCATTTATCTTATATAAAACATAAACTTCTGCTGCTACTTCTCAGTTGCAGTGTAAAGCAGAGAGAAGGTACACATTCCGGTGCTCCAAACATAGCACGCAACAAGAAACTACAACTCCATATAAAGTAACAATAGTGCATGTAACTATAGAAATGAAGACAAAAGTCCATTAAAAATTTTAATTTCAGAGTGCTTACTCCTCAATAGCTCTAATTGTGTTTACTAGAATATCATGAGTCTAAATCTCTAGGACATAAGATGATTCAGTTAGATTAGCAGTGTCTTTACCATACATAAAATGCCAATTCCCTTCCCACACATCCAAAGGTACTTTCTGAATAAAACATGGGAATAAAAATGTATTTATGAGACTTGCCCTAATGCTAACCTACAACACTATGTTGAGGACAAACAGCATAGAAATTTGTACTCTACTGCACTACAGAATAATTTAAATTAGTACCGTGTTAAGAGTAGGAAGATAGTATTTTCATAATGTGGACCTTTTTAACACCTGGGGGGTAGGGGGAATAGGTATATCACCTTTCTTGAAATGCCATCAACATGAAAATCTAGAGAGAAAGAAAAATCAAATCCTTAATGATTCATGCCAAATAGCTATAGCCAGCTTTAACTGTTTTTGCATCTGCTTAATCAAGTGTTGGCGACAGAACTTTCTAAAAAGAAGAAGAAATAGCCCAGTAATTTATTGTGGCTTGAACCTTTAAACAATGCTTACATGATAAAGTTTACATTAAATATTTAAGGTTTATTCCCCAGTCCCATGCCCAACCCACATACTACAAAAAAGAAAGAACAGCAAGACACTGGAGACGTACTTCACAGCATTCAAGTCCAGTGTAGCATACAAGTAATACAAGCACTTCATCCGTTCCGTGGTTTCCAAGTTGTGAGGGACCATGTACTGAGCAAAGATCCGTTCAACAAGTAACCTGTAAAAGGAAAGCCTCTTTAAGTGTACTAAAAGAACTGTAAACTCACAGATGAAGCAAGTCCCTTCTTTCCAGAACGGAGAAGAGTGTTCTTTCTGCCTAAGAGGGTCCAAGGCATGGACTTAGCTCTGTATGTCTTCAACTATCCTACACCTTGGAAACTGTGTATCAAGGACTAAATGTCCATATCTATTCATTAAGGTTCAGGAAACTACACCAAGCCCCTCTAAAGATCCAAGTATCATTTTTTTTTACAAGTTAAAGCTACAAAGAACTTTGTAAGATTCCTTTGACTTTTCATCACTATGAAAAGAGATCAATGTAAAACAAGACATGGCTAAATTATAAGTACAAAGAGAAAGGCCAGAAGTTGCTGCAGGCCTGCCCCTGGCTCTTGTAGAATACCAGGGCAACACTCATTGCCACTGCATCCAGACTCCCAGGGATGGGGCACAGAAATGACTTATCAAATCATAACAGGGATCTGTGCACTGGTGCCACATACCCAAGTGAAAAAACTGATTTAACAAAAAGCACTCCCTAAAAAACATCATAAATTTTTAACAGTCTATGGCAATGGTTCTCAATCTGTGGGTCATGACCCTTTGTGGGTCAAATGAGTCTTTCACAGAGGTCGCCTAAGACCATCAGCAAATACAGATATTTATATTACAACCCATAACAGTACTAAAATTACAATTATGAAGTAGCAACAAAATAATTTTAAGGCTGAGGAGTCACAGTAGCATGAGGAATTGTATCAAAGGGTCAAAGCATTAGGGAGGCGGAGAAACACTGCTCTATGGCTACTTTTCCAAGTGGCTTGCTACAGGCATACACCTTTGGATACACTAACAGTTTGTCAACTCAAATTCTAAACAGAGCTTACAGATCTACTAAGGGCTGACTGGCTCTTATGCGTATAATAGCCATCTACTTTTAGGGAGATAACATCTTTTTTAGAAATTTATAAACTACTTTTAGTCTCAAGTGGGAAGAGAGGTCCCCCTGTTTCTGCCTTCCAAGTGCTGTGCCTAAAGGTGTATGCCACCACCACCCAGTTTTGAGTAGGAATTTTTTTAACTTCAAACTTCCAAATGATTTTCCCTTGAACTGTGTTTAAAAATTTAACAAACAGCTGGGAGGTGGTGATGAACATCTTTAATTCCAGCACTCAGGAAGCAGAGGCAGGAAATCTCTGAGTATGAGGCCAGCCTGGTCTACACAGCAAGTTCCAGAACAGCCAGGGCTACATTTTCTTAAAAAAAAAAAAAAAAAAAAAAAAAAAAAAAAAATCCTTTTACTGCATCTTTCTATAAAACAAAACTTTAAATTACAACAGCTATGTTCCTACTTTTAGATATTACCCTGTAAAAAGTTAGGGTACAGAAACAAATGAAAAAGCTCTACATGTCCCATGGACATCACTGCTTCATCTGTGGCTTCGCTGGTAAGAAAACGATGCATCCTATTTGCCCTGGACTAGAAACAGGAGGGTGTTTAAAGTCATAAAGAAAACACAAAGAAACTATATAACACCCAAAACTCACCAAGTAACTGAAATGTGCAGCTGCATGTAGACCCTGACTTACCGGTCATCGATGCTGTTCTGATAGTATATATGGAGCAGCTTGTCCTTGACCCAAGATATCTGTTTTGCAGCATCTTTGCCAGCTGCTGACTGTAAAGCATATTTCTTATAAATCTGGGCAAGTCCCATCATGGCTTCTTTGCGTACTCTCCACTTAAAATAAAAACATATAAAAGTTCTCTTTATAAGGTAAGAACGCTTCTATTACCAGTGGGCACAGTGACATACACCTTTAATACCAGCACTTGAAAGGCAGAGGCAGAAAGATCTTTGTGAAGTCAAGGCTAGCCTGGTCTACATAGTGAGTTCCAAGACAGTCAGAGCTACAGTGAAATCCTGTCTTGAAAAAAAACATAACAAAACAAAAAGCCAAAAGCTTCAATTACAAAAATTCATTAATCGTCAAGGAAACAAACTGGCACGTTTGTTAAGAGTGTTTCCAGGCAAGTTTAACTGAGAAAGAATGACTCACTCAGTGTGGGCAGAACCATCCCACGGACTATGACCTGACTGAAGGAGAAAAGAAAGCTAGCTGAGCATCAGTACACAAGTCTTCATTTTACACGCCCTACTTTAGCCGGATCTCAGATCTTTTCCATTTATAATTTATTTAGGAAAGAAAGGGTATTTTCAAGTGTAATACTATTAAACTTCAAGTATTAAAAATAAAACTCTACTGAATATGTTGTTACATAGCTTTAATACTAGTATTCATGAGACAGGCAGGCATATCTCTGTGAGTTCAAGGCCAGCCTAGTCTACATAGAGTGTTCCAGGATATCCTGGACTACATAAAGACACTATCTCAAAAATAAAATGAAATAGAGCAAGCACAAGACAAAACCCTCCAAGATTTATCTACTGTCCTACTTACCCGTTTGTCAAGTGTTCGCTCTCTCACAAAATTAAGTAAGTGATCATTGACAAGAAGAATATCCTTTTTAGCAGCTGTTACTATAGACACAATAACATCATGTCTAATAGCTTCCTCAGGGTCATGTGATCTCACTTTAAGATACTCTGAAAGGTAAGAGTTTCTGATTAAAATGGAAACTTGATTAATTATCATATTGCTTTAGAAGACTGGAAAGGCCTTTATAAGTCAATACAATAAAAACAAACCCTAAGTAAAATGTTCAATATTTCAAGATAATTATAAAAGCAAGGGAAGGAAGGAGGAAGAGGTGGGGCTGGTCCTTCTTTCACAAACTAAATGTCAAGTACAAATGAAAAGTGAAATTCTGCTCCATATCAGGGCAACAAAGTTGATACAGCTGCCTCTAACTCATTAAGCTGATCATATACACAAAAAGGTGTATCACTGTTAAGCATGGCTCAATCATTTTCCATATAAATAAATAAAGTATTCAGCTGATGTTACTGAGAAATAATGGAGTGTTTATCATTTCTATGCTATAATCAGTGAAAACCTGAATACAGTCAGTGAAGGAATAAAGCTAAGATTCTGGCTGAGAAGACCTTGCTTCCATAGGATCCAACAGAAGTAAAAGTACCTAAATTAAGAATCTGGAAAACAACTCACCACAGTAAGGGAATCTTAGCAGTTATAGACCCATGCTTATACTTAGCATTTTTTCAAATGGATTTTGTTTAGTGTACACATACTTAATCAGGAGGGCTTGGCTATGAATTACTAAGCTTTCCGAGGAAAGGCTCTAATGCACAGAAACAAACGGTGAAAATAGAAGTCATTGCTAGTTTTTTTTTTTTAAAGAGGAAACCCCCTCCCACCAAAACAAATATTAACAGACTCAGAAAATACTGCATCCATCATAACACAAGAAAGGGGACTTACAAGTCCCCTTCCCAAAGAGTAACCAAGGATAGAGAGAGAAGGGGCAGGGAGGGAGGGAAAAGAAGGAAGGAGGTGAGCAGGAAGTGAGAGAAATATAGACATCACACACAGAGAGTTGGTGGGGAGACCAAGAGAGCAGAGGGCAAAAGAGGAAAGAAGCAACACAGTACAGCAGCTACAAAGAAATGGTCCAAATGTAAGTAGGAAGACAGACAGTTCCAAGTAAGATGTCTCCATAAAAAAAGGATGATACTGGCTTAAAAATGAAACAAACAAAAAATGGGCTGTTATTCAATATACTTGGAAGCTACTGTTTAAAATATTACAGATGGATAATTTATGGCTTTCTTTACAAGGAGGAAACTCAGAAGTTAATAGAAGGCTTGAAGGAACACTGATGAGCAAAAATCAGCCTGAAATGTACATACAAAAGAATACAGTGAGAAAGCAGAGTAAGAAAAAAGTAGAGCAAAGAAAAGTTATGGGACACAAGAAAAGGAAATACTAGTTCAACTCCAAAGTCACGCACGATTTCAATGAAATCCTTTTCACAGGACTACACTCCATCACTACGCAACGATACAAATAACACAAAAACAACAAAGACTAAACTCCAGAGATAACTGTGCCTGTGGAGACACTAAGGAAAGCTTAGTGAACGAAGATTCTGGCAGTAATTATCTTTTCTTTGCTTTTCTAGCTCATAAGCACAGTAAATGCTAATATTTGTGCAGAACATACACATGGCTATTATACTAACCTCCATTTTATGGACTATTTTATAATTTACAAAATTAAACAGGTAAATGATATCCTCATTGTGTCAAAAATTGGAAGAGAAATACTTAATGCTTATACAGATTTTAAGGTATCTCAATTATGTTAACTTAATTTATAGTCAATGACTTTCACTGTTCTCAAATTATCAGAGCACTGGCATTTTCAAAATCAAAACCCATTCAAACCCAAAAATGTTAAATTGTGCATGACTGTTATTAAACAAAATACTTTAAATCATGAAATTACTTCCAAAAGCTGGGCTTTGGTAGCACACGCCTTTAATCCCAGCACTTGGGAGGCAGAGGAAGCTGGATTTCTGTGAGTTCCAGGCCTGCCTGGTCTACAGAGCGAGTTACGGGACAGCTCCAAAACAAAACAGAGAAACCCTGTCTCAAAAAAACAAAAACAAACAAACAAACAAAAACCTGCTTTTAGTGTGCACAAAGAACAACATGGTAAAAACCATAGCTTCAGAAACTTCCATGGCGATAATTGAAGAGAGAAGGCAGTGATCAAGAACCACCTAAAAGAAAGGGTTTCCCTATAAAGTTTATTTTCTTCCCACTGAAGAGCACCCAGAAATATGTGCTATTACCTGTTAAATCCTTTGCTAAATCAGGATGGTTCATGAGACAGTGGCTAGCAAATTTCACACATTCCAGGCGTATGGGTACATGGATATCGTTAAACCTGACAAAAGATTAAAAACAAAACAGAACTCTAAAACAACCACAATAGACAAATTTGATCTATATTAACTTGTACTTATTTCTCTTAGTAATGAATAAATGTATATATGAAAACCCAAAGAGGGCCTAGGAAGATAAATGGTATTAGTAAAGTACTTATTAAAGGACTGGGGTTTAATTCCCAACATCTGCATAAAAAGATGGGTGTTGGTGACACACACTTATGACCCCACAACTGAGCAAGTAGAAACCAAAGTGCTTGTCCAGCCAGTCCAAACCAATCCCCAAGCACAGGTACTGCTGAGTGCTGAGGTATTATCTCAGGCGTTGCAGATGTACTCTAGCTCACAATCAAGAATAGATGGCAACCTCTAAAGGATGACACCCAAGATAAACATCTGTCTTCAATGTATACAAGCATATACCCTAGGACATACTCACATGTATGCAGGTACATAGACACACTAAAGAAAATTGTAAGTATTACATGGCACCCCCCCCCCTTTTTTTTTTTTTTTTTTTTTTTTTTTTGACAAAGGGTTTCTTTGTGTAGCTTTGGAGCCTGTCCTGGAACTTGTACTGTAGACCAGGCTGTCCTGGAACTCCTATCACAGAGATCCGCCTGCCTCTGCCTCCCCAGGTGATGGGATTAAAGGCGTATGCCACCACTGCCCAGCATAACAAGACCATTTCAACAGTCTGGAGGCATACATAAACTAGGACAATCTCTAGTTAGGTTATGTTAGGGCTGTAAAATTATGAAGAGCCTGTGTTTTCCATTGGAATAATAATAGGTGTTAAGTATTTTCCCATATATAAAGTATTTCAAATATGTACATTCACTAAATATAAGAGTATGTCTGTATATGTTATGTGTTTTATAAATTTGTGTGTGTATATATATATATATATATGTTTATATTTCAGAAAAACATTTCAATTTCCTATCATGTCTGAGATTTCCTTGAAGTGTTTTTTTTCTTAATTATAGGCCATAAATTAACATACAGCAAACCTTATTATAATTTTAGTTTGTATTCTATGATTATAAACTATATCCAAAAATTGTTCTTATCCAATTAACCATCAGAATTATTTCATTTCTAACTAAAAAGAAGACTATCTTTATACTCTATCTACAATGTATTTATCTATAAACAGTAAGCCTAATATGAGTAGGCAGGTATACAGTGCTTTCCTACAATTTAGACTCAATCTTTGTCTGTTGCAGTAGTTTTTCTTGTCCCGCCAGGTCCCACCACTTCAGCCCCAAATGAACACACAGATGCTATATTAATTATAAAATTGTTGGCTGGGCTTAGGTTTCTTATTGGTTAGCTCTCTCTTAATTATTAACCCATTTCTATTAATTATGTATTTCTACAGGGCCTTATCTTACTGGAGAACATTTGGCACGTCCTATCCTCCCGGGACCACCAAGGCATTCTCTCTCCGGCACATCTCTGCCTACCTTTCCCAGAATTCTCCTAGCCCCACTTATCTTCCTGCCTATTGGCCAAACAGTTTTACTCATCAGCCAATAAGAGAAACATATACAGAAGGATTTCCCCCCCCCATTATTTGTCTTTTGATTTTAATGTCAATTAGCAGGAATCGTTCACTCCTACCTAACCTTAAAAACTGGTAGTCAAGAATTAGACACATGACTGGATTAGGTATTGGGATTTGAATTAGCAAAACTAATATATATCATCATATAGCATGCACATAACATCTAACTAACTGTGCTCCAATTACTAACGTTCAAAATCTATACACAGCTGTTCATCAGAGAATGAGTAACAGTGACTTCTAAATTTTGGTTAAGTGTCTGTAACACTGAAGTCAAGAGTTTCCAGTCAGTAAGTCTGAGTCTCACTTCTATAAAATCAAAAGTCTCAGGTAATTTTATCATTCAGCACCAAAAGAAACAACATCTAGGCTGGGCTAGCTCAGCATGTTAAAACACGTGAAAACCTGATCACCTGAATTCAATCCCTGGAACCCACGGAAGCATAAGGTGAAGCTGAGGCTGGAGCTCAGCAGCAGTGCGAACACCAAGCACACAGAAGACTCTGGTTCAATCCTCAGTACTCCTAGACCCCTCAAAATAGCATGTTTTTAAAAGAAAACCATGTCTGCGAAACCAACAGCAGCACACTACTTAAACTTTTCTTATCAGGCAAACACGTTTATTCTATAAAGTACAACACTCTCTTATGGCTCCTGTAAGGGGTGTTTGAATCCAGGTGTCCTACATTACAACACTCAGCATTTCTCAAACAAGCATATATTTACAATCATTATAAATAAATACATCTGTTAAAATATTTTTTGGCTCCTCAAGCTCAATGGGAGACTTTTGTTTTTGTTGTTTTGCTCTGTTTGATACAGTCTCACTATATAGTCCTGGCTGACCAGGAACTCACTATGTAGACCAGGCTAGTGTCAAACTTACAGAGATCTGCCTGCCTCCCTAATGCAGGGATTAAAGGTGTGCATCACCACACCAGCTTTAGAGGGCTTTTGGTTTCTTCCTTTTCGTGGTGGTGAAAATCAAACCCTGGTCCTTATACATGCTAGGTTAGTGTTCTACCACTGACCTCCATTTCCAGACTAAAATTAGCGATATTTAATTCTGTGAGAGTTTTTATGTCATTAAATTAAAAGCAACAGCTACTGTGGACTATTTTCCAGACAAACATGTTAACATTAATAAAAGGTAGATTCACCTGCCTCTGCCTCCTGTGTGCTGGGATAAAAGGCATACACCACTACCTGGCCATTAGCCAGGCTAATATAATTCCTAATCTAATTCCTAAGTACAGATAGTACATTTTTTTGCATAAGGAATTTCCTATGGAAGCATCTTAGATATATCTCTTTCACTCAGCCACACATAACTAACTGTATATTGAATATATATATTAAGTGTACACACGTACGTGTGTGTGTGTGTGTGTGTGTGTGTGTGTGTGTTAAAATGGCCAGGTAGAGAGAGAGAGGAGACAGAGAGACAGAGAGAGAGAGAGAATGTGTGTGTGTATGTGTGTGTATTTTAAAATGGCCATGTAGTGGCGTATGCCCTTTATCCCAGTACACAGGAGGCAGAGGCAGGTGAATCTACCTTTATTAATCTAAATTCCTCACTTAATATTGTCACTGAACAAAATCAAAGCTAAGAGCTCAGACTGGGAATTTAGAAACCAACAAATAAGTAAAAAGGCAGAGAAAGAGAGAGGGGGTTGAAGAACATTTACTTCAAAAGATGAGATTTAGTAAAACTACTGACAGTCATCAAAAAGAAAAAGAAAAACAGTAAAAGCAATGCCAATACTGAAACACAAAGAAAATGGAATCAAAGTCTTCAATCCTATTGTTTGTTAGTGACTTGACTGCTTTATCTGTTCTGAGCATGGTTTGAAGGAACAAAATCTTCCCTTAACAGGGTCAAAGTAGTTTCAGTTACAGTATCTACAGTGCTTTAGTACTTTTATGGTCAAAGATCTCTTTAGGAAAAGTAATGAGCTTCTCCCACCCAAAAAAAAAAAAAAAAAAATTGACAAATACAAACACACTCCTCAAACTATTTCAGGAGTTTCATGGACTACTATAAGCATATAAAGAACCAAAGCCATCATCCTTTAAAAATACAGAAACTGCTGGGTGATGGTTGTGCATACCTTTAATCCCAGCACTCGGGAGGCAGATACAAGTGAATGTCTTTGCGTCTGAGGTCAGCCTGGTCTACAAAGCAAGTTCCTAGATAGGCAGAGCTACATAGTGAAACTCTCTTTCGAAAAGCAAAAATAAAATAAAAAAAAAAAGCCCCCCCCAAAGCAGTATTTGATGGAATACATACTTATAGGATGGAGCCTGAACACTGGATAAGCTAATGCAGGAGAATCAAAGACTCTGGTCTACATAGGAAGAAGGGAGGCTGGGTGCACCAGGCTGGTCTAAAACCTGGTCTGTCTGCCTCTGCTTGGGAGTGCTAGAAAGATGAACATCACCACATTCAGCTAAGTCATTTGTTAATTTCATTAGCATCCTTACCCATCCAATACAGCCAAACAATATAGTTAAATATAGCTTTTGGGGGTAGGGACTGTATCACTTCAAGTCGTACTTTTAGTTAGAATTACTACTTCTATTTTATGATTATAACAAAAAAACTATGAGATAGGCTTTAAAATATACCATCTTTCAAAAAAAAAAATCACCAAAGACAAAATAAAATGAAAAGAGGTGCTGGGGACGCCTACCTATGTAGGGCCTTGGGCACACCAGTTAAGCACTCTATCAAATGAGCCATATTCCCAATGTGAAAACCTTTTATTATAATTTTTGAGAACATAGTTTAAATGTGCATCATTAAAAAAAATAGAAATAGATATAAACACGTATTTATTACAAATAAAAATATCAAATCATGTACCTGCCCAAGTAGCACTGCCAAAGTGGTTTATTTTGCGAAGCCAGCTCTGAATCCTTTGCCCCAAACATTTTTGCCAGTAGTTTAACAACCTGGAGGCGTTCTTCATTATCATTGCTCTAAAACAAAGCACAATTTCTTTAAACTTCAAAGTGAACACTCAAAACATGACCTATACCTAGGATTTTTCAGATTCCCTAATTTACAAAAAACAAACAAACAAAAAAATTCTATGACTCCGGATGATAAAGTGTGTAATGATGCTCAGAAATTTTTTCACAAAATGGAATGTTATAATAAAAGCTTTAATTATCTCAAGTTACATTAAAGCAGTACTGTGATGTGAAAATGTGTCTCAAGATTCCCACTAAATACTAAAATCCTCTACAACAATTAAGATTACTTCCTATTCAGAGTAAATGTAAAACCTACTAAGGATTCTTCAAAAGATGTGGTTAAGAACAGACACTGTACAACATCAGATTCCTAAAGAAATTCAACAGTGTGATGGAGTTGAGCATGCAGCAAACACACTTCTGCTTGAATCACCTTATGACAGGCACCCTCAAGATGAAACCCAGTTTTATTGTTGATTAAATCAACAATGGTTAAAATGACCAACTCAAAGGCTAAACTTCCACAGAGAGAACGGGCCATACAAATAGCACCAAATTCAAATTTTAAGACAGTGCCCCAGGCTAGCATCCAAGAGCTCCTCCCCTCCCCCAAGGGTATAACCTATCTCTTCTGGCTACTTGTTCATTTGCTCCTCCACAAATGGAAGGCTGTAAATAGCGCCATGAATGACTGACACTCTGTAGACCAAATGTACCCAGCCCCTTCTGACTCCTGTGTGCTTCCTCATGGTGCCTTTTTTGAGGCTGTCTGCGTCTTTTCTGAGTCTTACAGCATCTAGTCTCTAACAGAGCTCACTATTCCCCTCTTCTTCCCACACTGCATGTTAAGTTGGCTGAAAGCAGGGATGATAGTTTACTTATTTTTTATTCCTCACAGAGAATAGGAAAATGCAATTAGGATTTTATAGAGAAAACCAGATTAACAAGTAATTAGAAACATTGGTTCTCTTGCCTCACCAAAATTACTAACAATATTTAAAAGGGAATAGGAAGACCACATAATCAAAGGGCTCATTTAAATATATCAAAAAAAATAGACTAAAACAAGAATGAGTTATTGGTTATTTAGTGTCCACATAATACCAATATAAACTGCTTGTTTTATTTGGTTTTGAAATTAATAGATCAAAAATTTTTAGAAATAAGGAAATGCTACATGAAGTCTGGGTTATATACTAGGATCCATCAAAAACTAGTAATTATAATAAGCTGTATTTAGTCTTGTAATGAGTTGGGAGAGAAATCATACTCCCCAATTCTTCAAATGAAATGCAATTTATAGTATCTTTTAATGTCAGGGCAATAAAGACATGCTAAAAAAAACTTCAGATTTTCACCACAGCACATTTAAGTCAAGAAAGAAAAAGCATGCCATAGTACAGATGAGTTCCAGGCTACTTTTAATGTCCAATCAAGAGGTCAAGGACACTGTTACAAACTGTGCTTTGAAAATAGAAGCTAAATGATTGCCTCAAAAGTTAACCTAACCCGGATGATGCCATCCTGCCCATCATTTTTTAAGTGGGATTAATAACCTGGTAGACATCACACCAAGCACTAGAGATCCAGAAACAAACCCATCAAAGAACAATATTCTTTCTCATGTTGTATTCAGTAAACCGGTTATAAAAAGTTAAAAGGCAACAAGCAATGCTCTTTGTTTTTTATTTTTCTTATTTTTACCTTTAATTTAAACTCAAGCTGGGGTAGAACAGAGAGCAGCAAGTGGCTGTCGATGTTGTAGAGTTCCAAAATCAAATCAAAGACATGCTCAGACAAATCACTGATAGATGTTTTCCCAAGCATCAGAACCTGGTTAAAAAACTGTCAAGAAAATCTGCCATTAAAAGAAATGCCACAGAGAAACTGTCTCGTTTTGATTATTATTCAATTAAAGTTTTATTGTTATAAGTGAAGTCAATAAGCATATGGAAAATTACAGCATTTAAAATAAAGCTGCTTATACCTGCAGAGTAGCTCCTACTCTATTTTCAACTGCACAGATATATATTTTTATAATATAAATGTCTTTCTAATCTTTTTCCTCTTCCTTTGCATTCTGATAAACAATGTGTACATTTACAAAGTTTGCAACACTAAAATCCAACCACGAATATGCACCAACAGGCAGCTGGCTTTTAACTTCCAAGTCAAACCATTCATCAGGCTACAACTCAAATGAACAAATATACCAGGTATAATGACCATATTCCTTTCTATTTAAAATATTCCAAAACTGGATCCAGGTGCAGTGGTGCATGCCGTTAGTTCCAGTACTTTGGAAGCAGCAGCAAGCAGATCTCTTGTGAGTTCAAGGCCAGCCAGGTCTACATAGCAAATTCCAGCCCAGCCAAAGCTACACAGTGAAAACTCTTGTCTCAAAAATTTTAAATAAGTTAATCTAAAAATGTTTAAAACTGACCCAGAATATATATTTTTAGCAGCTTCCTATGCATCCTCAGAGAAAGAGTTAAGGATCCAAATCACACAAGGTGCTCTGATTGCTTGCCCCTGTCAATTAACACATAACTTGGCTTCTCTTGTACTTCCATACTGAAAGTACGATGACTTTCACTTCACACCTGCTTGTCTTACTTGTAGCTCTTGGGCAGTTCAGTTATAAATGAAGACTATGAACAGTGCAGACTGCCTAGCCCAAAAAAGTGGGCCATGGGGAAAGAAAGGCAAAGATCGAATACACTGTATGACATTCCCTGTCGGGGTTTGAAGAACAATGGCCCCATAGGCTCATGTATGAACAATTTGTCACCAGAGAGTGAAACTGTTTAAAAGATTAGGAGGTGTGGTGTTGTTGGAAGAAGTTTGTCACTGGAAATGCATTTAGGTTTAAAAATCCAAGCCAGGCTCTGTCCCTCTCTGCCTGATGCCTGGGATCAGGATGTAGCTCTCAGCTGCTTCACCAGCACCATGCCTGCCATGCCTGCTACCATTCTTTCCACCAATGGACTACTTCTCTGAAACAGTAAGCCAGCCCCAATTAGATGCTTTCTTTTTAGAAACTGCTGTGGTTATAGTATCTCTTCACAGAAATATAACAGTGATTAAGATATTCCCAAAGAATAAAAACATCATTTTTTTAAAGGACAAATGTCCATCTTTTATTTATTGGTTTTCTAAAACAACTTGTTCGTTTTTTCTACTCATCAATTTTGTGGAAAATAAACATAAAGATATCAAGATATTAAATTCTTTAGGTTAAATTTTATTGTCCTTAAAAATGTGCATTTATAAAATTTCTCCTACTTATAAAAAATAGTAAGGAGGCTACAGAGATGGCTCAGTGGTTAAGAGTACTGGCTATTCTTCCAAAAGACCAAGGTTCAATTCCCAGCACCTATGATGAAACAACTCACCACTGATTTTGACTCCAATCCCTGGGATCTGATGCCCTCTCTGGCCTTTAAAAACACTGCATGCATGTCATGCAAAGACATACATAAGGACAAAACACTTAACATAAACAAAATAATGAAATTAAATTTAAAACCACTAAAACAAAGTCCCTTAGTCTACCTTTTCCTTATTAAAGAGCAATAATCCTTTGCCAATATGGCCACCACAACCTTCCCTACTAGCCTGGGAAAAAACTTGCACACACATTCCATCACAAACATTCAATAATGTGGCATACAGATGAGACATATATCTAGAGTAAATATAAATACATACATGGGCAGAAGAGAGAAAAATTAACAAGGCACAGTGCTATATGAAAATGTTATAATAAAACTCATTATTTATAATAACTAAGAAATGAATTTTTAAAAAAAATCAAGAGAAACTGTACTACAATGGAAAAGAAAAATATTTATTGAGCATCTACAGACTCCATCTCTAGAAGAGTGGTGATCAAGGAAATAAGAGTCTGGCACAGGACCAGCACAAAGTGAGCCTTAAATACATAATCTGAGAAATGAATAAACAGGTAACAGTTCTTTTTATACAAATGTAAAACAACTCAAGACCTCCATATTTTAAAATTTAGTAGAGACAACATGCAGATTTGACTAAAATATTCCCTTCCAAAAATTAGCAAAAAACTATTTGACAATGGTTAGTTACAAAGCACAAGTTAACAATCAGAAACTCCTGTATTAGAACAAAAGCAGTGAGCTGTACATTCCATCTTTGTAAGCCTAAATTAAAACCTAGTTAAATTACAAAAATGATTTTATTTAAGTAACATTTTTTTCTCCTACCTTCCCAAGCACTGACCCCAATTTACATATGCAAAAAGACTTATTGAGATTAAGCAACTTAAAAATCTTTTAGTTGTTTCAATAAAGATCTGATATATTTTTCAGTTCAACAAAGTAATTTGGGCTGTACCCTAAATTGCATGACTAAAAGGATCTGGTTAAAATAAATAATAACATCATTAAAAAGCAATCTATTTAAGAAATTTCTGAATTGACACTATGTATGTTTTCTTTTTGAGTCTTTGTTTTGCCCTTTCATTTTTTCTCACTGTGTGTTCTATAAGAACTAATTCTAGTTTTTAAAATATATCATTATTATTTTATCTTATTCATGAACATTTTTGCTTGCATGTCTATCTGCACATCCTGTGGATGCCTAGCCCTTGGAAACCAAAACAGAGCATTGGCTCCCCTGGAATTAGAGTTACAAATGGGTGTGAGCCACCACATGGGTGCCGGGAATTGAACCTGACCCATCTGGAAGAGCAGCTGGTGCTCTTAGCTGCTGAGTCATCTGTCCACAATGAATTCTATCTTTTGAAAGATATAGTTTGCATGGTATTATGGGGGAGATCTGTACTTCTAGCTGCTCAGGAGGCTGAAGCAGAAGTAAAATTTGAATCTGTTAGTGTGTGGTCAGATTGAGCAATACAATGAGACCCCCATCACAAGAGAAAACCATAACACAGAGTTCTTCAGTATTCATGGATGTAGAGTTAGCACATTAAAAACACAAAACAAACAAACAACAACAACAACAAAACCCAGACCTCAGCATGTTATTATGCACAAGAGAATAAACCACACACTGTGAAAGGAGGTAGGCAGTACCATCCCCACCTCAGCGCCTGCTCCTGTCCATGCTGTACAAGGAAGGTAAGTAGTGTTACTTCACCTAGCACATCCAAAAAGACTGACCCTACCACTGCACCGATCTTATACTACACCATTCAGTTCACTACAAAGTAACTTCACGGTGCACCCCTTTAATCCCAGCACTCAGGAGGCAGAGGCAGGCATACTTCTGTGAGTTCAAGGCCAGCCTGATCTACAGAGCAAGTTCCAGAATAGCCAGAGCTACACAGAGAAACCCTGTCTCAAAAAAAAAAAAAAAAAAAAAAAAAAAAAAAAGTAATTTCACATGTAAGTACACAAAACTCAATTTTATGAAGGGGAGGGTACAAAAGCAATTCCCAATGACTTCATTACTGACCCTCAAATAAAGCAAGGAATAAAAAGGAAAACATAATCATGGAAGAACTGAAGAGATGGCTCAGTGGACAGTGTGTGTGCTGAGGAAGCACGAAGAGCTAGGCCTGAATATCCAGCACACATGGGTGCAGTGGCATGTGCCTACAATCCCAGTGATGGGGAAGCAGAAATGAAGAATCCAGGTAGCTAACTGTCCAGCCAGCCTAACCCAAAGGCCATTCTCCAGGCCCTCTGAGAAACCCTGCCTTGAAAATAAACAGATAAGTAAGTTTTAAAAGGTAGAGAACTATAGAAGATGACAGCCAACATCAATCTCTGCCTCCACATGTGCACATACCATGCACTCTAACGTCCACATGGGTGGGCATATACACGTGTACACAACACACATACATTTGTGCACAGTACAGATATACACACACATGCGCTCTCTCTCTAAAATAAATGGAAAGACAAATGAGGATAAAAAGAAAAAACAATGGACAAGGTACCAGAAGTATGTATGTAACTGAAAATATGCTAGGTCTACAGGTAAGAACAGCAGGAAATTAACATAAGTGACAGGGGAGTGCTTTTTGTTTTTCATTCATTTATCTGGGATTACTGAAAACATTCCCTTGGGCCTTTTTTCCATTCCCATCTTTCATTGCCTTTTCAAACACAATCCCAAATTCAAAGACCAGTATAATCAATTTAAATCATGTAGTCCCAGTAAACACTGTTTTACTAATTTTTCTTTAATTTAAGCTCAATCAAATATTTATTTTTCTAAATCTTAGAAAAAGGCATGAAAATAAGGTAAGTGTTCTTCTGAAACACATCTGACTTAGAAGTACTGGCTTAAGTAAAAGACTCCCAGCAGGATTCACCCTCTGTGCTAGGCTGAGAGTGGGAATCTACATTCACAAGCACTTAAGAAAGCAAAGGCAAGGGATGATTAGAAAGCCCCAGTCTATGTCTACATACCAGGGGTGCCATAAAGTGATAAAGACAAACTCAATCCAATCAATTAATGTCAAGCAACACCCAAGTGTCAAAATACTGCAGAAAGCAATTTTGGAACCTACTGACAATCCTGGAGCTATTAAGTCATGGCATTAATCCTCTAGATTCTGAAAGTTCACCTCAAAAATAAATATTATGTTTCCAAACCACCACATGCTGAAATTCTTTGAAATCAGAAACAAAAGCAGGATTTACCAAGGCTCACTCAGTCTTACGGTGTGCTTTATTTTTCTCAGGAAGTCACTTCATAGCATCTTTTATGACCTGACCTTAAATTTTTACATAAAGCAAAATTCTCTACCAACAAACTTCAGAATAATGAAATACATATAAATAAAAGACTGTCTCACTTTTCTCAAGCAGACAGATTTACATCCTTCTAGCTGCTGAGGTAGGTGAGAGCAGAAGACAAGTAGAAAGAACTGTTAAACAAGCCCAGGGCTATCATTAACACTGTACTCTAGATTTGTGCTCCAAGAGGCAGCCACCATTCACATACAGTATGATATGGATGGTGCCACCTTCAGTGACACAACTCAAAGAGCTGTGGAGAGAAAATAAAACTTAATATAAGTGATGTGACTAAGAACAATTTCTTCTAAAACAAACAGAAGATGGTCACTCGTGACCAAAGCTGGGATCATATTTAAAAGGGTTCACTTCACTGCGAATCCCCTCTTCCTCAGAAAGGGCACATTTATATAAACCTCCCTCAGGAATAACAACGTGTAAGTAACTTCCACCAAAGTGTCATAGCAGTCATACTTGTCTTCAATTTCCAGGTCCTGCTATGGTTCCTATCTTCTTTCACAAATAAATTTAATCTTGAAAAAGCAGTAATCAACTTATCTGAATAGCAAAAAAATACCATATGTTTTACCTAATTTACCTTTAACTCTATTGCTAACATTAGAAACTGTATTTTGCTAACCAAAGACAAAAAAAAGCTATTATTGCTAGGAACTTGAAAGACGCAAATAAAGGCATAAACAAGAGAGCTAGCCTTCCCAGAAATATTAAGCAAAAGTACCTTTTTAAGAAAGGAGAGAAAGAAAATGAAACTTTCACTGGTTAAACTGCAATAGCAATCTAAGAAGTGTGGGCTACTTGCTGAGACTTACTTCTAAGAGTCTTTAAAATTCCAACCTAACCCTTCTTAACCATCTGTGAGACTTACATTGGTAATATATGGTTCAATAGCTTGAGCAGTCCTCTTCAACAAAGCCTTTGCCAAGTCATACGCTTGCTTGTTTAAGTTCTGGAAAACACAAACAGCAGCTGTATTATATATACATGTATTTACAAAGTGAGCGGGTTTATCTACAGTGGTGGGGCCTCATATGTGCTGGGCTTACTGAACTCCCCTACTGAATCACAACCCCAAGCCCTAGACCTCAACTATGAAAAGCAAGATGTTATTTATATTTTAAAAGCCTCTTGAATAAATAGAATGAGAAAGTGATCCATAAAAGAAAGTAAACTCACTTTTCTTAGGACAATCTCTTTTCCAACCAAACATTAACTACATTATTTTCAGATTTTGTTTATAATAGATTAACCATATAGAAATGGTCAATGAATGTTTACTAGATAAAAGAATTATTTAGTCATCCTAAATACCATCTCCAATTCAAATTGGTTCAGGTGAATACAAATATAGACTGTTACATGCTAGGTCCAGAAAAACCAAAACATCAAAGGCTGAATCTTGGAGCAATGGTTCAGGAGTAAAAGCAGTTTCCAATCTATCAAAAAACTCAAGTTCCCAATACCCACATCAGTCAGCTCACAACCCGCTAACTCCAGAAGGTCCTCACTTTCTTTACTCCTCTTCAAAATTACTTGGCTATTATCAGCCATTTCCCCCTTCATGTGAATTTTAGATTCCATTTGTCAAATTAGCAGCTCTATTTTATTATAGGACAATATGCAGAAAACTGAAGTCGTCATAACACTGTCTCATATTCTACTAACTGCATTTCTCTCAACATATTAAGTCTTCTACTGTGTATTCTCAGCCATCTACAATGGTTTGACACAAAGGTAATGCATAAACTCTAAAGTCATGTGTTAGACTGCTAAGTACATAACATCTCTGTTAAAGTTACAAATGAAAACTTGTTATACTAATGGATTTGTATCAGTTTTTCTGATTTTTCTGTATACTATGTTGTACTTCTCTGGACAGCATCATTTACAAATAATTTCAGGGCTTTTTATCTTTCTAATCATTTTACTTTTTGCCTCATTTTATATATATATTAACACCCCTAATAAAATCCTAATTAGAAACAACATAACTGTTATTGAAAACAGAAGCAGTATTTTTCACATTTCTGATTGCACAGAGAATACTTCAGTGTGTTAAAAGCTGCTTTCTTTTTCAGACTGATTAAAAGCTTTTATGGTAAGTTACACCTATTTTTGCTCCTAGTCATAATCACTGGAAGTCCTTTCTTTGGCATGTTACTAATAATTATTCTATCATTACCATTTTGTAATGTCAGTCTGTCTTTGTGTATCTAAAATAAAAACAATTGGTCATTATCAATATTACCTTCTACTACTCTGGAAGCTGTCCGCTATCCCTGTATCTGTTCTTGTGGGTTAGCTCTTGCTAGTTTCCCCAGAAAGACAATGCTTGTGTCTGTGACTTGCTCTCTCTTCACATACAGTACTTACCTCTCCCTCTCCTATGCTCTGGAACTCTGATAACTTATATATTAGAGTATTTGCCCCATGAAGTCAATGAAGTCTCCCATGTCAGCTTAGGTTCTTTATTGTTTAAACATTTTGCTACTGCTGCTGCTGCCTTATACTCTAGGTAGAGTTTCAAGAATCAACTAATTTTTTTTTTTTTTTTTTATTGCTTAGGGCACTGGACAAGTAATATTTTTTCTGAGAATTTGTTTATTCTAATTTCAAATGTATTCAGAGATTATTATTCACATAACTATCCTTTAATGGTCTTCATACTTCACCACTGTCTACTTAATACATTTTTAAAATTATGAATGTGTAGTTTAAGTAACATTACTGTTTCCTATCTCATTCATTTCTGCTCAACTGCTTTTGTTTTACTTGTATACTTTATTCTGATATTGTCTTGACTTCTTGCACCAGACAGTTGTCATTATAATTTATCAAATCAATGATGTTTGTCATTAAGCTTGTAGTACTGTGTTTCAAATACTCAGTGTTTCTACAAACCCTTGGTCTGACTTATAATCTACTAGGAAATACCTTTAAATGACCCAATAAATAGTGAATGTTTCATTGTCTCCATAATTCATTAATTTCTGCTTTACATATTTTAGCGGATAAACTCTGTCTTTATCCAATTAAAGACTACATGGGGGCTAAAATAAAGATCAGGGGCCTAAAGACATGACTCAGTGGTTAAGAGCACTGACTGCTCTCCCAGAGGACGCAGGTTCAAATCCCAGAACCCACACGACAGCTCACAACTGTCTGTAACTCCATTTCCAGAGTTAGTTTGTCTAACACGAGGGAATGCTTGGGTTAGCACCTCTAACACTACATAAGGTGACACAGACCTGTCATCTCACTCAAGAGGTTGAGATAGGAGAATCAAAAACTCAAGTTATAGTCAGTTCCAAAATAAGTCTGAAGCCTGTCTATTTCAAAAGCCTACTATATACTGTGTGGGGATATGCACATACATGTTCTAGAACAGAGGGAATAAATACTCATACATGATAAAGTCAGAGGACAGCCTTGGATGTCACGCCTTAGACACCAATTGTCTTTTCTCTTCCTCTGCTTTTTTCTTCTTCAGTAGGCTAGACTAGCTGATCTATCCAGCACCAACTCCCCAGCACCCAGATTAAACGCTAACAACATTCACTACATAGGGCTTTCTTAGGGTTTGGAGGAATCAAACCTAGGGCCCATAATCAGTTCACCAACTGAGCTATGTCCCTGTCATTAGTATTAATATAAAATAACCTTTTAAATCTTTCTCAGAATTTTGCAAATCAGCTCTTTCCATGGCCATATTTTGGCTATTTGCCTTATTATCATAACCAATTGGACTAATCTTCAGCTCAATGGAACAACTTAAGTTATGTGATAAACTTAAGTCATTTACATTATTGCCAATCTTCCTTCTCTTAAAATCCTTAAAATTTTAAGAGTATATCACAGTCTACATTCAACTAGCCCAATGATTATATTTCACTCCTAATAAGCTCTTCTCCTAATTTTCTTTTTAAATGTCCCGCTGTGGTTTTTAACTCCTGTTTTTATTCTATTTTGTTTACATAGACAGTGTATGATGTGTGTGTACATACACATGCCACAGGAAGCACATGATGGTCAAAGGATAACTTCCAGCAACGATTCTCTCCTGTGGGCCCCAGGGATTACACTCCAGGTCACCAAGCTGTTATCACTGAGCCACTATGATATAAGGAACTACACATTGTACAAATGACTAAAAACAGAAATTACCCCTCAAAATTGTTCCATCTCAGGAAAGTATTAAACTATAAAGAATCCAGCTGCTCTCAAAGATGAGAGGTCAGATCCCAGCATCCTTGTTTCTACAAGTGTTTCTGTGCAGTGGGCCAAGGAAAACACAGGGCTTGGGAAGTGTCTATTTGTGTACATTGTTACTTAAGTGGTGCTAGGAATTACACTTAGGATCTCACACATGCCAGGCAAACTGAGCTACCCCTGAACTACATCCTCTAGCCCAGAAAGTGTCTATTTATTTTTCCTGATAAATGGACTTTTTCATGACAACAGTTCAGAGAGACAGAGGCTCTGAGTGCAAAAACCAAGATGGATACTTAATCTGTGTCTGGGAAAGCCTTTTCTCCAAGGTATTGGCATGGATATGAATCCTATTATGCTAACCACGGGGAGCCTGCTTCATCAACTCTTGAAAGCTTCCCTAAGTTTCCCTGTGGTAGATAGAGTTCATGATACTGGCTGGCCCTCCTGCCTCACTAGAGAGCTAAGAGCTTGAGACAACAGGCAAGTTTCCTGGTGGGTTGCCTGAAAGAAACAGGTTGGGCTGGTACTTAGAATTTACAGTTTTTTCAAATAACAGGATAACAGGAATCCTAACAATGTGGGCCCTGAGGGCAAAGGAGGTGCTGCTATATGCCTCAGGAGGAAGTGCTATGAGCCTCAGAAAGGGGTACAATGTACCTGGGAGGGGGAACAATAGGCTTCAGTGGGGTCTATTCTCTCTACCTCCTGCCTTCCTTCCCTTGCTTGTTTATCAGTGACAGGTATACAGCTGGGCTGGGCAGAATTACGAAAAGGCAAACCAGACACCTGCATAGCAACAGAATAGATGGAGGCAATCAGAGCCCATATCAACACCTCTGATTTTTCATTTAATAAATACATCACCTGAATTTTTGAGATCTAATGTTAACTTGAGGTCTAATGTTAGCTTACTATTGAGCCTGCTTACTCTCAGCATTAATAGATTTCCAATATGTTTTAAAATTTTAGATTAAGGGTTCATTTCCAATAAAGGATTATTTGTGACAATATTATATAAATGTATGCTAAGACAATATAATGCTAACGTCCTTAAATTTAAGCAGAGAAAAAAATTGAGTAAAGGTTAGAAATTTAACCCCTTCTCAATAATACAACTGCCATCACAACTACCTACCAGAGTCGAGTACTTTCAAAAGTTGAAACATGCATACACACAAGAGAAATGCACACACATCTCTTAGTTGACAACACTCAGGTAAAAACACTGGTCTCTAACCTCTCTGTCTCTACATTAGCCCTATCTTTCAATTGCGATCCCAACTGGTTCCATGTGCCAACTCATAAAGTCAAATAACAGTACTTAAGCAGTTATTAACTCACTGCTATATAAAGTGGGGGTTTTGGCATCAGAAAAGTAAAGGCATGATCTCTCCAAGGTATGGTTAAGGGGAAGATTTTTATGGTAGGTATGAGGGAAAGTACAGCCAGAGGCATCTGGAAGAATCCGGAGCAGGAAAAGTAGTAGACCAAACATGGTAAGCAGAGTGGATCAGATCTTGAGAGGAGGGAGGAGGAGCAAGAGAGGAGGGAGATAAAGACCAGAGGGAGCAAAGAGAGTACATGGCCAAAATTATGGTAGAGTTATATAGGAATGAGAAGCCCATTAGGGCAGGAGGCGGAGGAAGAGCCAGGATGTCGACATGTGCTTTGGAATACTAATAGGCATCACAGACAGCTTTTTCTCCCCAACTTCTTTTGGCCCTGTCAACTGTGTAAAATGTTTCCTATAGGAAACTCATTGACCACAAATATTTTATCATATGAACTAAGTCCATTATTTCTTCACTTAATCGGTGACTACAAAATGTAATGTGTTTGTTACACCTCAAACAGTGTCTTAATACTAATTAAGAGTCTACAAAACTAAGCTTCAGGCAAGATAAATTCTACTTACAACATAAACATAAATTCTGAATCCTAACTTAGTACAGTTTAAACACATTTCACATACCTTATGGGCAGGTACCAGATTTACCAAAACCGTATCTAAGAGCTCCTGAGACACTGTGTCGCCTTCACAAATGATAGAGCTCATGAGATCCACCATATGCATATGCACTTTCTGATTGTGGCCATTGCTGAAATCCAAAACAGTTATTTATCCAGATGTATCCGAGATAGACATGATACTAGTAAACATTTTACTTTATAAAAATGGTGAGATAAAACTACATTACTGTCAAGCTTCTTTCTCTCTGCTCTTACAGCAAAACTTATTTTTAAAACTGCATTACTAAGCCGGGTAGTGGTGGTACACACCTTTAATCCCAGCACTTTGGAGGCTTAAGCAAAGGCAGAAGCAGAAGCAGGTGAATTTCTGTGAGTTTGAAATAAGCCTGGTCTTCAGAGAAAGTTCCAAGACAGGTGGGTCTACACAGAGAAACCCTGTCTCAAAAAAAAAAAAAAAAAAAAAAAAAAAAAACAAAAACCACCAAGGGAAGAAAAATACTATATTAAATTACTTCCCCCTAATTTTAGCCATCTCACAACCAAAGTAGTTAAATGAAATACAATCTCAGTTTCATCTTAAATTTAAACAAAGCATTTTAAAATTCTATTAAATTTTATACCTACACAAAAATTTTAAACAACCATATATATTAAAAAGTCAATGTAAGTCGGTAATGGTGGTATACACATTTAATCCGAACATTTGACAGGCAAAAGCAAGCTAATCTCTGTGAGTTGGAGGCCAGGCTGACCTATACAGAGTTCCAAGACAGCCAGGGCTACACAGACTATCTCAACAATGACAACAATAATAAAAAGTCAATATAGTATGTAAACAAATAATAATCCCAAAAAAATTAGTCTAATTTGCTCCTATAGCCAAAAAGTATATAATAAGTTCTATCCATTCAGATAGAGAATAAATCTTTACAATTAAGAAATGTTACTCATTTGAAAATGAACTTACTTTATAACTGAGAATAATGTTCTGTAGAGTTGAGTAAAGATTTCATTGCTATCTTCTAACTCAAAGCATATGTTATATGACTTAACCCATGCAATGTTCTAAAAGAAAGACGTGAAAAAGCAAATATTTTAGTTGCTAAAAATATACAATAACAAAAATAAAGTTTAAATATAACCTCAAGTTTTAATATATTGCTTACCTCAAGTAAATAAAAATACCTATTGAATTGAGGGCTCTTTGTATCTTCTAGTCCCTTTAATTGTCTTGTTATAAACATAAATATATCCTTTAAAAAAAAAACAAAGTTTTGCTTAGATTAAGAATGCTAAATGGAAGTACACAATATACTAGTAGGACTAGCTAAAGTTATTCATCAACATTGTAGACATATTAGGATAAACTACTAGGAACAAAAAGAAAGGCAGAATTTTTTATAGTACAACTTTACATAAAGACTCTAGTATCTTCTAAATACAATGTGTAAAAACCATGATAAACCTATTATCCTTCATAGTAAATCATTACACAGATCACATGTTAATGTACAGAAAGAAAATGTTCATCATACAGCAAACTAAACAAATAGGCTTAAAAAGTGAGTCAAATAAAATCCATGCTATTATTAGAATAAAGGTGTTGCAATAACTGAGAGCTGAGGACTCCCTTGAAAAAGTTCACCACATGAAACAGCACAACAGTTACATAGCAAGAAGACAATTTAGGAGTCATAAAATCCCAAAACAAAATTACCAAGTAACAGCACAACACATCACATCCAGAAGCTTAGACTTTTGAAACAGAACAACGGATGTCTGTTTGTCTAGTGTCATCATTACACTGGAGTCACTTGTTTCCCTGAATCGTTTCTCAATCTTTCCCTATTTCTTATTTTACACTTTTTTTTTTTTTAATATTTCCCTTTGTAGGTACCTGAGTCTTTAAAGACAGACAAAAGTCACTTTCAGATAAATTTTCCTGAGTTTCAGTTTTTTTGAAAACTGTGAAAAGACTTAAATAAAATAAAACAAAGTAACAGTAAAAGCTAATTCCCTAAAGGAATTTTTTTACCAATCGTAAGAAAAATGTTTCTCTATAAGTAAAATAATGTACATTTTAAAAGGCAAAAATATTATATACAAGTGACTGAGTAATATTTCAAGAAAAGCACTATTAAAAGTACATTCTTTGAAAATGGCTGCTTTGACAGCAAAAATGTATAAAACAAAATCTCCATGAATGAGCTTTTCTGACAATCTTACTCTACTGTCTGAAAGAGAGTACTGGCACACTAGATTTATCAGAAGTTGGAAACAATTGTCAATTCACTCATAACCTCTTAACAAGCCAAATGTCCAATCAGAGTTTGCTCATGACAGTAACAAACTGAGACTGAAAAGTAAAAATCGAGACTGACTATTTTCTGTTATGTAATACTAACTGGTATGGCACTAATGTGGACAAAAATGTGGCCTTGAAGCCAATCAGAATGAAAACTATCCAATAAATACTTAGAAAGCATCCTTAAAAACACAGTGATTCTTCAGTTCTATCCCCAAAACAGAAAAGGGGGTCTGTAAATTAAAACCAACAGATTAATTCTCAAGACAGAGAGACAGACTTTTTTTAATGTTTCAGATAGTTCACGCAGACCTTTACCTCATCTATTGGGTATTCTTCTCATAATTGTCCTGATACAGAGAGCACAGATCTGTACCTATTCTTTCAGGATACCTTTCATCACTCCTAAGCCTTGAGCTAGGTCAGTGTTTATATTTATACAAACTGAAAAGTTCACAAAAGAAGTAAGTAAGTTGCACAGCAAGATCTACTTTTGTTTAGAGAATATCAAAAAAAAAAAAAAAAAAAAAAAAAAAACTGGTAAGGAAGAACCTTGGCTTACACCAAACAAATATATCATTCTCTAAGCCATTTAAATAGCATGCAATCCAGGTGAAAAGTAACTACACAACCAGTTCACATGACCTACTCTAAGTCTGACACAACTCAAATTTAACTGTCCAATAACATTGTGTTATCCTCTTCCCTCATGTTGATTGATATCCTTTATAACAGTATCATCGCAAACCAGACTGGGGATGTTACACAGTTGGCAGAGGTATTAAGGGAGCACATACCTCATTCCAGTTATCAAGAAGAAATTAGAAAAGCCCAAGGTTCATGTCTGATTTGGATGTTGTTGCTTTCCCTTACCCAAGTATGCTGAGTTCATGAAAAATAACTAACAATAACATTTCTTAAGTAAAGCAAACTGTCTGCTACTTTTTCTTACAATGGATGAATAATCTTACTAAGGAAAGTGATTTTCTGACCAATAACTTCCAAAATCATTTACTATATGACTTGTTACACAGTCACTTGGTATCTTTCAAACAGCTCTCATTCAGGTTTCTAGTAAGTGCTATCTTTTAAACAATGAACATGGTCTGCATTATAAATGTTCAAAAGGAAAAGGAGCATCCCAAAATCATAATGCAAAACACAGCACCATGGTGTCATATGAAATCATTGTGCAAGCCAAAGTTCCCAGAAAAAAGCCTTGGTGATGCTGAAGATTCTAGAAGGTAACTGACTTAACAAAACTTCTGTGGCTGTAGCAAGACTGCATGGAGCAGGTCTACAGACAAACCATCTGGGGCTCTCTTTAGCCCCCCCTTCATAATTTTCAGCCCAGACCTCCATGTTTACCTAATATTCTTGTGCCTTCTGGAATATGTGAACAGATTGTACACTTCAGGCTTGTAACAGAGACTTTTCCACAATGCTGTAATCAATCTACCTGGTGTTTCCACCAATGTATTTAAAGGAGGCCTTGATTAATGACTTTCTATTGTTCTGTTACTATAAAAGCCTCATGAAACTGTTACCACATGGAGAACATGGTATTTTAGGTAAACTAAACCCATGTTCTTAAGCCACAGTCATTTATATTTGGTCCCAGAACAAAATATAAACTCATTCCTTCTAGGGTTGAGAGCTTGGGTGGGTGGGTGTGAGTGTGTGAGTATGAGTGTGTGGGTGTGTCTGTCAAAAACAACTTTTTAAAATATGAAGTAAGATATCAATTAAAAGTATAGTAAAATAAACACAGAGGGGCAGGGCAGTGGCCCACGCTTTTAATCCCAGCACTCGGGAGGCAGAGGCAGGTGGATTTCTTTGAGTTCCAGGCCAGCCTGGTCTACAGACCTAGTTCCACGGCAGGCTCCAAAGCAATATAGTGAAACCCTGTCTTGAAAAACAAAAAAACAACAACAAAAACAGTTAAGTGTCACAAGAAACAGAAGTTTAATGCCAAATCAGTCTGGCCAATATAACAGAATTTGAAGAAAATTACTTTATCCCATTCAATTTAACAGAAAAGTAAAGTGTCAACATTGCAGTGCTTCCCATCAGTACTTGCCTTTAGTTTATCAGGAGATGTGTAAGGAGCCTCAGGAGCATAAATCCTGAAAATATCAGCAAGGCAGCAAGCTACCAGTAAACGAACATCTTTATCAGGGTGCTTGAGGAAAAAGTCGGAAGCAAGATGTAAAGCTAGGTTCAGGTAAAGTTCCTTTTCTTCTTCAGAGTCCTGATCCATGTCCATGAAAGTTTTTACAACCATCTATACACAAAGATCATCAAATAGTCAAATACTTTCTATGATCATTCATGACAGATAAAAGCCATAATACAAAAGTTCACTCAAAATACACTTTCATCAGAAAAGAATGAAATTCTTCTACAAGTGGAAGGCAAACGATTTTAAAAATATTTTTAATCAAGCACAGTAGCACATGCCTATAATCCCAAGACTCAGAAGGATAAGACAGGAGGATCACAATTTCAAGTTTAGTTTGGGGTACAAAGCAGAACTCCATCTCAAAAAAGACTCATTAATGTTTCATTTTAAAGCAATGGTTCTCAACCTTCCTACTGTTTTAACCCTTTAATACAGTTCCTCATGTTGTGGTGACCTCAACTATAAAATTATTTCATGGCTGGGCGTCGGTGGCGCACGCCTTTAATCCCAGCACTTGGGAGGCAGAGGCAGGCAGATTTCTGTGAGTTCGAGGCCAGCCTGGTCTACGAAGCGAGTTCCAGGACAGCCTCCAAAGCTACACAGAGAAACCCTGTTTCCAAAAAAAAAAAAAAACAAATAAATAAATAAAATTGTTTCATTGCTACTTCATAACCGTAGTTTTGCTGTTATGAATCGTACTGTAAATATCTGTTTTCCAAGGGTCTTAGGTAACCCTTGTGAAATGGTCATTTGACCCACAAAGGGGGTCACAACTCAAGAAGTTGAGAACCACTGTTTTGAGTAAGAATTTGCCATTTGTCCACATATCTGCTGACTAGACTTTAAGTTTGAAATGTAGCCTATGCAGGGACCATTCATTATTCAGTGTCTTTATCTGTGGAGATTTGTTGTCTCACTTGTACAAGTGTAGTAACAGTTCTATAGCACTTAAAAATCACATCCCATGGGGAAGCAGCATAGGACTGAACTAGACCCCTTGAATGTGGGTGTCAGCTAGAAGGCCTGGGCATTCTATAGGGACTCTGGTACTGGAACAATATTTATCCCTAGTGTACAAATGGACTTTGGGAGTCTATTCCCCATGGAGGGATACTTTCTCAGCCTAGATACACAGAGGAAGGCCTAGGCCCTGCCCCAAATGATAACAGACTTTGATGATCCCCCATGGAAGGCCTCGCCCTCTCTGGGGAGTGGATGGGGTATGGGAAGGGATGGGGGGGGGTTAGTAGGGGACATGGGAGGATGGGAGGGAGAAGGAACTGAGGTTGATAAATAAGATTGTTTCTAATTTAAATTTTAAAAATGTATTTAAAAAATAATCACATCCCTTTCTTTTTTTTTCTAATAGTTTTAATCATAAAGAAAACCTTAGAATAAAAATTTCAATTTCCATCTATCATGGTTAATCTTCACTATGAACTTGGCTGGATTTAGAATCACATGGAAACCTACCTTTGGTAACGTCTATGAGACTGTTTCCAGAAAGGTTTACCTGAAGACTTAAGACCCACTACTGAATGTGGGTGGCTTGGATTCCTGACTGAATAAAAGGAAAAACAGTGTAGAGCTATATTCATCTCTTTGCTTCCTGACTGTGGGTGGAAGATAATGTGACCAACTGCCTCACACTCCCGATACCGAGCCTTCCCTTGCCATAATGGACTGCACCCTCAAACTGTGAGCCCAAAATAAGCTCTCCTTTCCCAAAATTGCTTCTGTCAAGTATTTTGCCAAAGCAAAATGTATCATTTTAGCCACTAAATCACTCGAGGTGTGATTTTTTTTTAAGTTTCAGCCTCCCCAACAGACTGTATAAGCAGCTTCAAGAAAGAATGCCTGGGGCTTAATGATGGCTCAACAATCCGAGTATGTGCTGTTTTCTTTAAGAGGTCCCAAAGTCAGTTGCCAGCACCCACATCAGGCAGTTCACAATTGCCTGTAACTCGAGAGTCTGAGGATCTAACGCCCTCTTTCTGGCCTCTGTGGGCACTGCATTAGTATATGTGCTCATGCCCAGCTTAGAAACACACATAATTAAAACATGAAAGACAAAACACTGTTTTAAAAAGATGTCAAAGATGTATTCGTAAATAAAAATGCATCCTTCAGTTACCATGAAGTGACTATGTACAGCAAGGGAGGGAAAAAAATGTATTTCTGGCCCACATTAAAAGGAAATACTAATGGACATCTCATTGGTTCAACGAGATAACCCATGTACATGTTACACAGAAACAAGTTGCAAGAAACAGATCTATCTTCATAATTATTTTTATAAAAGGGGAACTGAAACCAAATTAAATGATAATTTATAGTTTAAATTCTATAACGTTTTCGCTAACTTAACATTAGTAGAAATGATTATCTAAAGCTGTGCTACCCTTACTTCAAATAAAATTCAACAAAATGTATTCTTTCTTCCAATAAGAATCAAGAAAATTGTAGAACCTGAAAGAACATGACATTTCACTCTCACTCTGACAAAAGGTAACCATACAGCATCCACTAGGTGGTGCTACACATACTAAACGTGAACAGAGCCACTGGGCATCACAGCCTGTGGTTTCCACTTGCTAGAGGCCTGGGAATTCACACTGAACACATGGAGCAGCTGTGGGGACAATGCTACAGCAACCCCTCTGCTCTGCCATGCCCGATGCCAAACAGAATCAAAATGGACAAACTGCACTATTCTCAATATGTAAGCTCAACAACTTTATGCCTATTGAAAAGACATAAGAGGGGACAAAAAGGTGCACAGAATTAAGTGTTTTTCCTTACAATCTCTTCATACAAGAATGGGAAACAGTGTATTTTGAATAAAATGTTATAGGAAAACCAAGAAATTATAAGAATGACAACCTATAAGTTAACAAATTATCATGACTCATAAAGCTTATGTATTTGTAAATAGCAAAAAGTATTATCCAAAATTAAATCTATTTTCTATTTCTCCGAGGAGGAGGAGGAGGCTAAAAATTGTAGCAGATATAAATATGGAAAATGATGAAAATGTGTACTAGCCAGCTTGCTGACGCAGAAAGCAACTGAGAGTAAAAGCATGCTATACAACACTGAATATGACGACAATGAAACAATCGAATTTGCTCCAAGCCCAAATAACAGGAACTTTTTGCTATTGTGTACTCAAACAGTGTTGTAAATCCCATTAACAACTATCACAAATCCCAGCATTCAGAAAGTTGAGGCAGGATTATAAATTCAAGGCCAGCTTCGGCTACATTTTATGGAGTTTCAGGCCAGCCTGAGCTACACAGCAAGAATGGCCTTAAGGGGGAGAAGGGGAGCCCTAAATTATAACTCAGATGAGGCCTCTAATTTTAAATATATCTGAGAAAATAGTATGCATAAAAGTTACTAAATGTGAATCAGCTTGTATGTGTATGCTGTCTCCACAGAACTTTTTCTTATCATTTCTGGGATAAACCTAAGAAAGTAAAGGTATTGGTTTCACAAAAATTCAACAGGCAAAAAAAGATTAAATACACAGAAAAGTAAACACATCGTACATAAAAGAACTGAGCTTGGCTCTACTGAATGAGACAGACACCAGTTTCTAATGGGACTGAGCTTGTCAGGAGGTGGATGGACATCTGTGATAAGGTTCCTTTTCTTTCAAGTAATAAACCTCTGACAGTTGCATTCTAATAGCTTAAGGAAAAGTAAACAATATCCAGACCTCAAGTGAAGTTTATGGTAGTGTTAGCACCACATACATACATACATACATACATACACACACACACACATACATACACACACACATACATACATACATACATACATAAATACACACACACCACACAGCAACCTAATATATCACTGTTTTGTAAGGCTTCTGGACCTTCAGTGCTGAAGTTTTCCAACACTGACAATCAGAATAACATTACAGAATGCACATGTTGAAACATTACATATGACTCACTAATAAGTCTAATTTTATGCTTTGCATCAGTTGAAAAAAAATGAGTATTTTAATACTGTAGCAAACAAATGTCTAGATAATGCACACATAGAAGGAAAAAAGTGCTCAAGTGTAAGAGTGATCTTGAGCAACTGGTCAACCAGGTTCATATGTACTTTGTCTGTTAATGCTACTTTAAACATTCTAACAGTCACAGGAGGTAACCTATACCTGAGGACTCCTACAAATACAACTTCCTTTCCTACACCTGAAGAGTTAGGGGTGGGGAGGGTGGAGGTAGGGGAACGACAGTGAGCATCAAATGGAAGACAGAGCAGATAACTTGGTAATGGAGAATATAAAAATATCATGGGACATGCGCCTGCCAATCACTCTCCAAGTAGAAGTGGCCCCCACTGTTCCTTACCTACCCTATCCCCACAAACTCTTTCTCTGCCATTTGCTGTCTTAAAATTTTTTTCCTTAGCAGAACAAATTACATGGCCCTACGTGAAGATCCTCAAAAGAAAGCCCCACACTGCCCAGCTGTCTGAACGGCACACTGTTCACTCACCTTTAAGCGCCTCACCATCTCCTCTTTAGAGATTTTATCTGAGATTTCCTTGACACCAGGAGGGTAAGTAATCTTCCCATCGTTGGTCCTTGTCTTTGAATGAGCCATGATGGAAATGTCTGTACCCCTAAAGCAAGAAAAGTGTTAGGTACAAACTAAAAACAGGCATGTACTATAATAAATGTAAAAGATAAGTTGTTTCCCAACAATTTGTAATAGCCTCCAATTCAGAGTAATTCGGTCATCTAATGAAAACTACTTTACTGAACATTTCCCAAAATTACTGAGGAAAACAAACTTATTCTATTCCCATTAGTAGCAAGCTGTATAATTTACACTAACTCTCCCCAACAAAACACAATAGAAAAAAATTAAATAAATATATATAAAGTGAGGGACAGGAATGAGGGTGACCAAAATAAGTTGTATGAAATTCTCCAAGGAACCCAGAGAACTTCCTATCTATCTGGTCTCTAAAGTTATCTGCCAACACTGACAAAACCAAGATTCAGTTTCAGTGCTCACATTCGACAAAAGGGACAGAACATCTGTACCTGTACCCAAAAAAAAAAAAAAAAATCTCCTGAGATTAGTGTGGACTTCTAGCCACTCCTACCACTGCCCCCCACCATGCCCAGGGAAAAGATGCACTTAAAAAAGCAAGAAGGTAAACCAGAAATCAATCTGTGCCCTACAGAAACCAGAGACGGTAAATAAAAACACAGGGAAGAAGTCACTAGCTTTGGTCATGAATCTACATATTTGTTCAGAGACATAGAACATACACAGTCCTGAGACCCTCGAAACACATGGGCAACCAACTGGTAGTAATCCCAAGGACCCAACATAATTGAATTGAAGTCCTGTCTGAAAGAAAGTATCTTCATCCTAAGCACAGAAGAAACTCAAGCATGGCACTTCTAAAGTATAAAGTCAACAATAGGTAGGCACCTAAGGAAACAGGGTATTCTTAGAACAAGAATAAATAACAGAAACCACAAACAGGGCCAGAATCCTTCAGCTATTATTACATTTATGGAGATCATAAAATGACTAGACTTATAAACTTATATAAAAGACAATTCTGAAAATCTGTAAGGAATAATTATAAAAACAAACACTCAAACATGCAAACAGAGCAGCAATAAACAAACATTCAACAGACATGTTCATCTGCAGATAGTAAAAATATTAGAATTAAGAAAAAAAATTATCCAGGGCATAACACAAACATGAAACTAAAATACACAGAGGACAGGTAAGTCTATCTTATGACTCACAGAAGAGTGACCAGTCCACATAACTGCACAAAGTATCATAAGACAGCATGCATGCATGCATGCATGCACGCATACATACACACACACACACACACACACACACACACACACACTCCGCCAAACCGACACTATAAAAATACGATCATACTGACTGGAAAGGGAGGATTTACAAGTTGGGTAGAACCCTGATGCAAGGGAAACTTCCACGAGACTACAAGGATGGACCCAGCTAAGACTCTTGGCATAGTCTAAACTGGCCATCCCCTGGGATCCGATTGGTGACTACTATGACTACTACTATGGTTATTATCGAAGAACCCTCATCCAGTGACTGGTGGAGGCAGATTCAGAGACCAATGACCAAACACTGGGGCCAAATACTGGGCCGAGCTCGGTGAGTCCTGCTAAGGAGCATAGAGGGATTGTAAAAGCCAAGGGGGTCAGGAACATCACAAGGAAACCCCTGCAGCTACCCTGGCTCATGGGATCTCACAGAGTGTGAACCAACAACCAGTGAGACTACATGGGATCAACCTAGACCCTCTGCATATATGTGACAGTTGTGTAGCTTGGTCTATTTGCGCAACTCCTAGCAATAGGAGCAGGGAATGTCCCTGGTGCTCTTGGTGGTTCTTGGGAAACTACTTCTCATTCTGGATTGCTTTGCCCAGCCTGAACACAGTGGGAGGCGCTTGATCCTCTGGCATTGTGTTATGTCAATGCTTTGTTGATGCCCATAGGATGTCTGCACCTTTCGGAGTGAATACAGAGGGGGCACGGATGAGAAGGCAGCGGTTGGGATGTAAAATAAACAAATAAGTAAACTAACAAACAAATAAATACAATCATAAAGTGACAATAGAAACAAAGGGATGTTTGGAGACTACATAAGCAACAGTAAGTGCATGTGAAGATTCAGCAGTAGTATCTCCAAGAGCACAAACTAAACCTCAACCATTATACACCACACAAATGACTGGAACAAAATGACAATGACACCAAATGTAGGCAAGAGTCTGAAGAAGCTAATCTGTCAGATATTACTGCTCATATAGCCACAGTGGAAATAATTCTGGCAATTTTCTTATTAAAATGAAAATTTACATTTATAGAAAATATCCACAACTGGTGGTGGTGGCTCACGCCTTTAATCCCAGCACTCAGGAGGCAGAGGCAGGTAGATCTCTGTGAGTCTGAGTCCAGCCTGGTCTACTAAACCAGTTCTAGGACAGGCTCCAAAGCTAGAGAAACCCTATTTCAGAAAACAAAACAAAACAAAAACAAAGAAAAAATTCCCAAATTGAAAGCATTGCAAATGTTTTTTAATGGGTGAAAACTGATATGAAAAGAATAAATGCAGTAATTTAACAGCCACTATGCACAAAGGAAAGAGTCGGGCTCAAAGGGTTGTACGTGGTATCGTTTCTTTATTTAACAGTCTCAAAATAATAAAACCGAGAAAGAGCGAGCAGATGAGCAGCTTTAAGGAAACGAGGGTGGAGGAGTGGGGAAACAGGAGGCAACACTCCCCTCTCTGCAATTGTGCATGATTGAAGCTCTACAGCAGTGTTCTTGACCTATGGGTCATGACCGCTCTGGGGTTACTTGAGACCATCAGAAAACACAGATATTTACATGACAATTCATAACAGTAGCAAAATAACGGTTGTGAAGTAGCAACAAAAATAAGTAACTGTATATATAGTTGGGGGTCACCACAACATGAAGAACTGTATTAAAAGGTCACACACATTGGGAAGGTTGAGAACCACTGTGAGTTCCAGGACAGCCAGGGCTACATAGTGAGACCCTGTCTCAATACACACACATACAGACACACATTCTACAAATATATTTAAAAGGCCTCAAATACCAAGACATTAAAGGAATACAGTGAATGGGCTTGGTTCTACCAAATATTAAAACCCAGTACAAAGTTAAAGTAATTTAGACAATGTGGCATTGGTGAGGGGGAAAAGGATCCGATGGAATGTAAGAGAAGGCCTAAAAACAAGACTCCAAACATGAAAATTTGTGAAAACAGTGACAAGGTAAGACAGTGTCAGTCAGTAAGGACAGTACAAAAGTATTGCTGTCCCCATGCTTCACACAAACATAAAATGAATTCTGGGTACATTAGTAATCTCGGTATCAAAAACAAATGTAAAAGCCTTTAGAATGTGATGAGGGAAAAAGCAGTTTGCCGGGTCCAAGCTCACAGGTGTGCTCCCTTAAACGACATATCCACCTGCGGCCTAGGAAAGTCACTCTGGGGGAGCATACCTGAATGCAGCAGGGTTCACAACTGTCCACAAGACTGCAATGTAAGAGTGGTGCAGATGAGTTGTTCACATGTAGATAGCATAGAATGTGAGCATCTGTGTATTCAAGTTACTGTGTACCTACTTTTCACATAATATCTCAGCAGTAACTATGAGAGAAATGAGTTAAAATGGACCTCATAGTCTACCAAGAGAAATACATAACCCTACATAACTAAACCACAGTAGCCTTTGAAACATCTAGAAACAGCAAACATGAAGCCTATGGAGAGGATTTAAGCAAACAGCATTTCTATATAGGTATGGAGAGGAGAGGATGGTATAAACAACAAACAACAACAACAAAAAAGGTACGATTCAGAATTTATCACTGGGGCTGGGGGGGGGGGGTACAACACTTGGTAAATGTAGCTAAAAGAGAAGTAAGAGCCCTCATTGGGGCAGGTTTCTGAGTTGGCACTGTAGTCTTACAAGCAGAGTTTAAAAGGCTGTGAAGGCACACAGACTATCCTCAGAGTGAGACACACTTACTACACCCTACCTACTAAACAATCTCCATGAACTTTAAAGGTGTAAGTGTACATGTTCCCTGACCTGCACTTAGCTCCTTCTTCTAAACCCAGTCCTATTCTGGGCCCACACAAATGGCATTTATCACACTATACTCACTACACTTCTTTCTCCCCTAGATATTAACTCCTTAAGACAAGCACAGGCATCATTTTATGCTGCTGTTACTACATTTGACAGGCATTACTAGTAAGTACTCAGAAAGTACTTGGAGAAGTTGTAGTTATAATAAATAGTGCAGACTCATAGTGTGATGACCCCCAACTAAAACATTATTTTTGCTGCTACGTCTTATCTGTAACTTTGCTACTGCTATGAATCATAATGTACATTCTGTGTTTTCCGATGGTCTTAGGCAACCCAAAAGGGGTCATTTGACCTCCAAGAGAATCACTGAAACAGAGTGAGACCAATTAAGAAATGATAATAAAGCAATGGCTACAATACAAGAAAACTGACTCAAAGAGTTACAAATAATTCTAATAGAAAAAGGAGATTACCATAAAATTCAAAGTATTTGTTCCTGAAGAGTGGCTTATTGAAATATTAACTGAGAATTCACTTGGGGCAATATACTAGGTACTAACTGTATTAGATACTAACTCTACAATAACGAGCAGCTCAAAAGACAATTCCATGTGGGAGAGGTTTGTTGCATAAGCCTAAGGATAAGAATATTGATTCCCAGCACGTGCATAAAAGATGAGGTCATAGCGATATAACCTATAGCCCAGCACTGGGAATAAGGGGCTGGATGGACAATCTAGCCTAAATAGTGAGCTTCAGGTTCAACAGGAACCTAATGGAAAACAAAAGAGGCAAATACCCAATAGTAGCTTCTGGCTACAACAAGAGCACACAGGTGAACACACATTCATGAATGTGATGATAAGCTAACATATAAAATGTGTGCCTGGTTATAACAAAGATGGTAGAAAAACCAGATCAGATGAGATGTTAAGGAAATTAAGTTTCATCTAAAAGGCAACTCTAGT